GATTTCATACTTTATATAAACCTTTTTTATTTCTTTTCCATTTCAGTCCGCAAACTACAGTCTGCGTTTTCAAATAAATAAAACAAACTACTTGCCATCCGTTGGAATGCCAAACCAAAAAAATAAAGTCGTCTCGCTATTCAGGAAATTTAAAATCAACTGTATCGTCCATGTATAGTCTATTTTTATGTATGAGAGAGTAATAAAACAGCATTTCTAATGCAAAACTTAGTACGGTCATTTTAATTATTTTTACAGAATAATCTAAATATTTCCTAAAATTGTAATAAATGTACCTGAGCTATTACAAGTTTTGGGTCTTTTATTGGTCCTTTATAAACATAAGCTGTACAGAACAATAGAAAAAGGTTTGGACAGGCCAAAAGCCCTGTGTATTAAAGATTACATAGCCGTATCTTAAGATTATTTTCAATAAGTACCTATTTGCCAATTTTGTTTTATTTTAATTCCAAGAATTTCTTACAGTAATCGAATTATAAGTAGATAAATACCTTCCCAACAAATTTCACCGAAAATGCGATTATAGGTTTTCCATTTAGTAAGGAGGTCCAAGTTGTGTATTCTTGACAGTTTACTAAATGTCGTTTAGTTGCAACTTGCAAGGTGCAGTGTGAATTCTAGTGTGATCATGAAAAATTTGGAAGGACCGCGTAAACGACAAAAAATCGGTCCTTTAACAGTTAATGAAAAAACATTAATATTTAATTGTTTTAAATCATTTATAGACAAACATTTATATAAAAGTGTTGATGACACAGTGAAATTAGTTAGTAGTACGCTTGGTGTTGGGAAATCTACGATTTACAGAGTTGTTAAAGAAGAGAAATGTGGCGAGTTTCAAACAGCACGTAAAGCTCCAGGAAAACCAAAATTTCAATTAGAAAATCTTTTGAAAGAAAGACTTCGAAGGAAAGTGCATGCGTTCTTCTTTAGAAAAGAATTTCCGACAGTAGACAAAGTTCTTGCCACGGTTCGAGATGATAAGGATTACCCTGAAATGAGTCGAAGCACACAATGGAAACTTTTAAAAGAAATAGGTTTTCTATGGAAAAAGCATTCCAGAAAGTCTATTTTAATAGAAAGAAGCGATATTGTAGTATGGAGAAGAAATTACCTAAGGACTATAAAAGAAATGAGAAACCAAAGAAGAAATATATTTTATTTAGATGAAACATGGATCAACGAGGGACATAAACCAAATAAATTTTGGCAAGATGAAACTGTTACAAGTCGAAGACAGGCTTTTTTAAATAATTTATCTACTGGTTTAAATCCACCATCAGGAAAGGGGCGCAGACAAATAATAGTACACATCGGTAGTTCAAACGGTTTTGTTAAAGGTGGTTTATTGACTTTTGAGTCTACTGGTACCGGTGAATACCATGAGGACATGAATGCTGATGTCTTTAAAGAGTGGTTCGAACAAATTATAGATCTTCCTCAAAACTGTATAATAGTAATGGATAATGCAAGTTATCACTCGAGACATAGAAAAAATGCCCACAACCAAGTGGTTAAAAAAAGATTTACAGAATTGGCTAAATTCAAAGAATATTAAGTTCCATCCCGGTTCTGTGAGAAAAGAACTGTATCATTTGTGTTCCCTTCATAAAGAGAAATTCAAAAAATATGAAATTGATGAAATTGCAAAAAATCGTGGGATGACGGTGGTTAGATCACCACCATATCATTGCGAAGTAAACCCGATTGAACTGATATGGGCACAGATAAAGGGAGAAGTTTCAAGAAAAAATAATTCTTTTAAAATGAATGATGTTAAACAGTTGTTTTTGGAGGCTGTAAATAATGTGAAGCCTGAAAACTGGGAAAAGGCAGTAAATCATACGATTAAAGAAGAAGAGAAAATGTGTAAGTTGGACAATATTACTGATGAAATGATCGAGCCACTTATTGTAAATATTGGTTGCGACAGTTCATCTTCTGATTTCGATTCTGATTTGGATTTGTAGGTAAGAAGTAGTTTTTATATTAAAATTATTATTTATGAACGTAACGTTGTTTAAAAGTCAAAGTTTAAACCCTTATACCTACATAACCCGTTTGACACAATGTTCTTAACATACCTTGTGGAAAAATAAAACATTTTAAAAAAAATTGCACTTTTTTACCTTCAGCTGTTTAGAAGTTATAAGCAGGTTAATTAGGTGAAAATATAAGTGTATACTCGAGGAATAACTTCAGAAAATATTTTAACTGTCTACTAAAAGAAGTGCTACGCCTATGGATTACGAACGCTTTATTATTTTAATAGTCTCTCATACATAAAAATAGACTATAGTTTGCTACGACTTTATTTTAGAAATAAAATCATGGGCGGCGAACGACTTTTTATTCCAACCCTTAATTCAAATCTATAAAACTACCCCACAATTTAAGCTTAATTAATATTTTCCAGTTTCAATTAGATTCGAATTATGTTAATTTAAAAATAGTAGCGTAGGTTGTAGACAGTGGCGGTTCGTGAGCAAAATATTGGGGGTTCACAATGACAAAATATAGGTCTCAGTACAGTTGTAGGTAAAAAAAACTTTTAGTGTTTATTATAAGGTATCGTACTGATACCTATATTCTGCCATTATGAACCCCCAATATTTTGGTAGCGAGCCGCCACTGGTTGTAGGTACTATATTGTATAGGACACTTGTTAAAAAAACAAATAAATAAAAAACTTGTAGAATTAATTTCAATATTTTTTTTATGAAAAAAATTATTCTTTCCCACAAATAACTGTTTACAAGACAGGTTTACATTATTAGTTCTCAATCCAAGCAATTCATTTTGAAAATTAACAATTCCGAGTCTTACAAATTGATGATTTTAAAACAGCGTGATTATTATAAACAAAAAAATTTCACTTTTTTCTATGTTAAATTTCTTAAATTCCAAATTAGTTTCATAACAAATGGGGTTACATTATACTAGACCCACGTACCACCTACTATAATACGAGTTTGAACTCAATGTTGTATCTGTATAGAACATTCTGATTGAAATCACTGCTATTAAAATTAATATTGGAGTAAAAATATAAGGACTGAAAACAAGAACAAATGATGCGTGTACTGTCATGGTAAAATCTACAATACTTGTATTATTATTTTTTTATGTATTATATCCACTTTTCTTTCTTTGTTCAAGATAATATAACTTTAGAAGGTTTCGCATATCACATGATATGAATAACATTCAATATATGTGTACAGATTTGTGGTTGACTGGTTGAATCATTTGATTAAAATGCATTCAAGATTATTTAGCTTTAAAAATATCATAGACTATAAAGGAAATAAAATGGTTGTTCATAAAATAACCGTTCATTTAAAAATATTCTTCCCAGGTTTATAAATATCCCATTAAGTGGATGTTCTATATATATTCATGTATAGGACGATTCAGAAAAATGGCATGAAATAACGCAGATGTATAGCTAGTTTTGATAGTTTTTTGTTAAAAGAAATTTAAAAAAAATATATTTATTTGTTTTAAAGCAACTAAACCTTGAAAAATTGGCTCAGGAATATTCGTGTATTTAATTTCGATCAAACCTCGATCTTTCTAATGAAGGAAAGATGACAATATTTGTTACAATAATCTCCTTTTTATAGTAAGATACCAAGTTAATAGTACTTGTAGAAGAGATTTTTTATTAAAATTTAATTAATCTTCCGATAAGTATTTTAATTTTTTTCTGAACCAAGCTGAATGTAAATAAGTATGTATTAATATTTTCAGAAATGTTAAGAAAAAACAGTATTAAATTTTAAAATAATTTTATCATTTTATTCACCTATATATTGATATTGATGTTGATGTTCAAAATATTCAGAGATGGTACCGAGTTTTTAAAAGTACAAATTTTAAGAATATACATAGTGACCACTTTTTGGTTGACGCAAAGTTGGTTAAAAGGGGAAAATAATGTATATTTCGAAGCCCAATCTAATGGAACCAATTTGTTTTCTATCAAATATCTCGTAAATCGGCCCTGATATTTTGGTTTTCCAAATGTTTTCAGATTGGGATTTGAAATACACAAACTTGTTCCCCATTTAACTTTTTGTTACAATTATAAAGTGGTACCAGAAAGACATAAATATTTTTAGGGTGCAAATCCGTAATAATTTACTCTTTCTGGTATGTCAAAAATTTAAAAATGAAGTAAAATGTCAAAAAGTGACAAAAAATGTTAGCAGATGTTCCTAACATGTCATAAAAATGTTAAAAAATTGTCTAAGTGAGAAGAAGGGTGTCAATGAAATCTATAAAATGTAATATCATGACGTTAAAAATCAAAAAAACTCATAAGAATTTAAAAATCACCAAAAATGTAAAAATTGCTATATGTAAAAGAAGTAAAAATGTCAAAAAGTCCCAAAAAAAAACGGTCAAATGACGTTAATAAAATATTAAAAACGTTAATACCTACTTAATTTCAAAACGTCAAAACTTAAAAAACAAATTAATATTAAAAGAGACAAAAGTGCCAAAAATGTCAACAAATAATGTGATAAAAAAAGTTAAAAACTTATTTAAATGTGAAGAATGATGTCAATGTTGCCTATCAAACGTTAATAAAGTCAATATGTCAAAATAAATAAAATTAAAAAGGGCAAAAATGTAAAAAATATATAAATAGTCAAAAAGTGTCAAAAAATGTCAACAGATGTAAAATATTAAAAATAATAGTCGAAAATTATAAAAAAATATATCAAATTTTCTAAAACAATATTAAAAAGTAGTATCATTTTTATATCCTGTTGATGGTTTACATTGTGAAATCGTATATTATAGTTAATTTTTCCACTTTACAGCATTAAATAATCATCCATCATCGTAATATCTATCTAACAAAACGATGTCCAAATATTTGTCCCCTAACAGTTCATCTACATATTATATTGAGAATATCCTAAAGAATGTCTGTAGAGAGAATAAAACAAAACTTCATCAACGCCTACCTGCTCTCACGTTGACATCTCTCGAATGAATAGATCCTTCGGTGTTCTTAGCGAGACAAGCGTACACCTGAGCGTGGACTTCCTGTCTGTAATCCTCCGCTCTAAACGGAGGAAATACCAGATTACCATTGGCCAAGACTTGTCGAAGACCAGGAACATCGCCTACAGCTGATCCGTCTGCGCGCACCCAAATAATATCGGGCGGGGGATTCCCGCGGGCACTGCATTCGACTACGGCGCCGGTGGTGTTGGAGAAGTCGACGCGATTGGGGGGTTCCTTGAGGAAAACTGGACCGGCCGTTGTGTCATCGTCGGCACTGACACCTAGCGCGAACAGCACGAAGCAGAAGGATCCTAGAAGCATGGCCGCGAGTGCCTGGATCCGAAGGGACCTGCAACAAAATAAATAAACCATTAAATTATATGTACCCTCAACAAAAATATCAGGATAGTAAAGAATTTATTCTAGGACAGCCCGAGAATCCCGGATGGTTCAGAATCCAAGGAAGGAGCTGGAATATTTGGACCTAAGACGAAAACAACGATTTCGCAATGTCTAGGAGAATTCGCAGGCCGAATTAGTAGCCATGCAGCTCTGTGCAAGAGAAATAATAAATCAGCAAGTATCAGGAAAAACTATTAGCATTTGCTATTATAGACAAGCAGCTCTAAAGACCGTTCTCTCATCAGATACTCAATCACGACTGGTAAAAAATTGCCTAGAAGACTTATTAGAGCTCAGTAGTTAAAACAAAGTAACCTAAGCCTAGGTACCAAGCCATAAAGGATATCAGGGCAATGAAAAGGCCGACGAACTAGCACGAGAAGGTTCAGATAAGACCATGACAGGTGTAGCTGCTATAGCGAAGAAATCTAATCTTAAGTTCACTCAGTAGCTGGGGAAACAGGGATATTAAATTTGGGAATGATATTAGTTTGAAATCTTTGGAAAACCATGACTCTTTATTGGTATAACATAACTCTTCGGTAGAAGGCATCTATCAAACAATGAGTGCAAGAGTCTCAGGAATTGTAGAAAAACTATCCAGGATTCATTATAGAATCATCGGTCATCGTCACGAAAGATATACTGGATGAAAATCGACAAATCCGTAGGGTAACAGTAGCTCTTCTTAACCATTAATAAAAGTAAAAAATGGGAAATGGTATAGCTATAAGCTGGATCCTTGTACAATAAAATTAAATTAACCAACCTTAATATTCGTTTCAAAACTAAACTTATATAATTTCCCAAACTTAGGTTAGCCCTTATAGCCCTTATAGCCCTTACAATCCTTATCCTCAATTAATTTATTTATTCCTGATGATTTTGGTATGGTTGTGTTGACTCTAGAACCATTCAAAATCGTTCATGTCATTCTGTCCGCGTCACTTGTCAGTATCTTATTAATACGTCATGTGTCTATCACCAGGACGTGTTGATTCTTCAATAAATCAATCTTAATCAAGATAATTTGTGTATTAAAATAGTAATAGTTTAACTACTGTATGTTTTCGTAATGCTCTTATAGAAAAATATATTTTTATGACCCCCGATTCAACCAAATAGGTACTTGACAGTACAATTTTGAACAAAACCAGTTTTAACCATTGATGTTGTCATAACGCGTTTAACCTCACCCCAGTTGTACAAATAAATCAGTGTATTGTTACACTAAGATTATTCCTCTCCCCTTACTATTTTTGTTGTATATTTATGAGCCTTCCGCATTATTTGTTTATTTCCTTTATATAGATTTATATAGAAAATTATGCCAATTTAAAATGTCAATAACCATTTATAAGATTGAAATTACTGGTGTGCATATTTTTATGTTTTATTTCTTAATTAGCCAATTCTTTACATTGAACAGTGCTAAACAGTTGTAATTTTTTTAAACATTAGATCATCTGTTGAAATACTCATATATATAGACATAAAATTGTTAATGTCGCCATCATGATTCATCGTTCTGGTTAATATTGTAATCACTATTTTATTTTACACGACCTGCTGTTATTTTGATAGAGAATCTATTAAAAATGTTTTCAAACACAATTTAGTGTATATCTTCTACCATGCCATTGCAAATAATATTTGTTACCAAAAGTTTTGAAAATGTTTCTTAATTGTAACAGATTCATATTGCATTTTTCGTCAATATTTTTTACTCGATCATAAATGAACATCAAAATGGACTTTCTAAACATTGTTAATTTTCAGAAATTCTTGCAAAAAATTAACAATAATTAATTTCATTTAATAGCATTGTTTATGGATTTTTTTTCTTAAATTTTTATTTTAAAAATTATGATATCTTTCATATACCTTCACAATTATTTTTTTTTTAAATTTCACTACTCTATTCTCGTTTTTTTTACTATATCTCTAGTTATGTCAATTATTTTTGTATTCTTAAGTCATTTTGGTACCTATATAATTATATCATTCCTTTACATTACATATTCCTATTTCTTTTTGTTGGCTTAATTGATACCTCGCTTTCTATTGGTTTTGATATGTTTAATTGATTATTCAATACTGTACTGAAGGCATAAGATTGAATTAGTACATACACAAACTAAATTAAAGAAAGCATAATTATTTTGACGTTATCATTAGAAGTATATTGTCTTTTAGCATTATAACATGTTCATTAGATACTAGTTAAACATTTTTTTCATTGATTGCTGACACTATTATTTATCTTTTGCCCTTAATGGCTCTTCATTATTTGTCAATAGAATAGTAATCAATACCAAAATGTGTGTTAAATTGATAATTGGGATGGTACATTAATTTTCCTCAGTAATTTAAACTTTATTTCATATGTTTTCTCCATAATTATTTTAGATATACCTAGACGGCAGCCTCTAAAATGATAACAAAGAATTTTTCTCTATTTGAATTGAATTAATTGCCTTTTCTTTAAGGAAATAAAAGTGTTGTTGCTTCCATAGCTACCCAAAGTAGGTAAACACAGTTGATGAACGTCTAATTTAAATTGTTATTGACTTTGAAAAGTACTAAAAATAATAATAATAATATACTATTTTTAATCAGAGAATATTCAGTTGTTCAATGTCCCATTTTTATTGAGACCCTGTATATTTAGGAATATTCGTTTAAATTTGTTTGTTAAAATATTATGTTTAACATTTATTTCATATATTTTATTCTGTAAAATGACAATAATTTTTTTTGAGTGTATGGATGGCATTAGACAAGTAAGTTAATTTATCACAGTACTTTATAGTTCCATATATTTTTTAAATAATGTGTAGTACTTATGTAGGCGTTGCTACTGTTTCCCAACTCTACTTTGGGAACCCACCAGATTGGGGAATCATAGATATGCGTCATAATTAATAATTATTATATTAAATAATAATAAAAAAAAATCCTGATCAACCGCGAATTCTTGGATTCGATGTTAATAACTAGAAGATAAGAGTATAGAAACAAAATAAAAAAATCCAGTCAGGTAGCTAGACAAATCACGGAAAGAATATCAACGTAAACACCTGGTCATTATATTTTTATATTTTCAATAAGCTGGACGTTTCGGTAGGCAGGTGGCAGATATGCTCCGTCGAACCTTAAGAAGAATACAGCAGCTGCTGTACCATTTTTCGATATTTGATTACCCACTTCTAAGAAAGAGACGGCATAGTCAAATCTCTCCAGTCCTTAACACGCACGCATTAAGCTTCTTATTATAAACACTTCCTTTAGGGGATAAGAAATAATAACTTTGCTCTGACTCGAATATTAATTAGAGGAAGTAACATATCATAAATAAAATATTATAAACAAATTCTTGACCTTACAATCCAAGGAAATAAAACTACGTATAGATAGGATTTTATATTATTAATCAGACTACACAAGGGCTCTTCATATACCAAATATTGACATTGACAACCCCCTAGTCCACCGGCGTGGGAGGTTTTTACGGGCGCAAATCAACCACAAACGATTTCCTAACTTAAACGCTCACTGAAATCGCTCACCTAAAGGGATCACTACGGAACTGTCACACTAGTAACGCTAATTTTTCGGAAAAACACCAACAAACACTGAACTGTAAATACAACCGGGGATTTTTTTACGCATACACCCGCACTACCGCAAGCTGACTAAATGGCACCAAATAATGACAAACTGAACGAAACGCCTAGCGCGAACCTGCACGAACGAGGGGAACCGAGGGCGAAAAAGCCCGAAGTTGTAGTATAGACGGTATACTCAAATACAGTCGGCAGTGATCCCCAAGGGTCAGTTTTGGTGCCTTTTCATTTTTTTATAAAGGGAACTAAAAAAAATACGCTTCTTTTTTTAACTCAGTTTGGTTATAGTACAGGGTACGATCTATAAGACGAACTAAAGTGTGTATTTGTTTATTGGTTTCATAAAATCTCCAGTTAAAGATTTTAGTTAACCTAGCTCTGAAATTAATAGTATTCCCACTTTTTCCGAATCTTAAAAAACTGAAACCCCATTTGACACTGATACTTTACCAGCATTTTTATTGAAAGATTGTGTATCAGTTCTAGCCAAAACTTTATGTTTCATTTCAATAAATTTTCCTAATATGTGGAAATCTGGACGAATTGGGAATAAATAACAAAATATGAAGTTGAAAACTATTGATCCATTATAATAATTTGCGACTGTTTCAAAAATTTTAAAAATCTCTTACGCGATACTCTTTACTATTATGCAAATCCGTATATACAGGGTGTCCCTATATTCGACCGACAATGCACTACACCTAAAAGCTTTCGTTAATAAATGCATTTTGATATAGGAACATGAACCCTTAAAGGGCTTTAGGGTGTTAAAAGTTTTGAATCAAAATTTGACATAAATCAAAAAGGACCTTAAATATTTTTTTCGAATTTTATTTACCAAGATCTATTCAAATACACGAACTATTAAAAAGTTGTCACGTACCTACTAAAAATATTGAGTCGTTACAAATTATTTAATTACATGCAGACTGTTTAGTTTGGTTCCATAACAGGATATTACTTTTTAACTAAAACAAAAACAAAACTAATTGTTACAGTGGCGTAAAAAATAGGGAGAATTGCCACTGGTTAAATTTTTCAAAATTTAGTTTGTGTCACAACTTTCAAATTTAAAATTAACTAAATCATTTGTTAATTTCTTTATCACATATTTGACTGAAGAAAATTGTTAATTTGAAATTGACGTTGTTTCTGTATTTAAACACGATATTTAGATTGAACCGGGCTTGTCTGGACCAATCAAATCATTAGTTGCGCTCGTTGGTCGTCGGCGCGTAAATTTAAATACAAATTGAGGTAAACATAAGTAAAACGAAGTACAAAAGACTGCAGAAATATTGTTTTACCAACTACCTCCATCACTGTATTTCAGTGTTTTGTTGGTTGCGTTACCTATCCTGCTTCGACATTATGTTTTGTGTACAAGAGAAAAATCAATTTTAGCAGGATAAATCTGCATACGGGGTAAATTCAGTTAGTTGCAGAGGGCAGTTTGAAAATTTCGATTTCAACGGGAGAGCATGATGGAAACTATCAGTATTTTTTCCAATTCTACGCAAAGTCGCAGAATACTAAAATCATTGAAAAAAAATATACGCAACTGTATTTTTGCTCTAAGAAGGCAGTGTCACATAATAAAAAACCTGCGGCGTTGTCCCATAAAAAAACACGTTTAAAATCACTATGTGGTTACTTCATTAAACCTCGACGTGGATTATCTTTCATATTTTTAAAATTAATGTTTTTTAAAATTTTCCATAGTGGCGATATATATTTAATTGTTTAGGATTCCACTACCCACTAAAAACCACCTTCTATTTGGCAGAGGCCGCTTCTCTCTTCTATCATCTCTTTTTGCTTAAGAACTTCAATACTAAAGCAATGTCCATTTCTCCATTTTTCCTCTTCGCCTAGCATGTAAGTATCAATTCGTTTGGTCTCATTTACTCCATATTAAAATCCAGGACTGACCTTCCGCTGCTCCATCTGTGACACCGGAAAATGGTGAGCTCAGGATCGTTCACCTCTTCATTGCAATAAATACACCTCGTGTCTGGGACCTTACCAATCCTGTGCCTGTACGATCTAAAACGTCCATGCCCGCTGAGAAATTGGGTTAAATAGTAATCGATGAGTTTGAAACGGCGGCATTCCAGCCAAGCTGTCAGATCGGGTATAAGAATCTTTGTCCACTGGGCTACTCTTTCCAACCCTGCCCATCTTGGCCTCTATATTTCATACGTCACTTTTAACATTTAGCTTCCCCTGAACATTAAATCATGGAGGTGGAGGTATAATACTAATGGAGATGCCATGAGGCAATTGTTTTGCATATGATACGTTTTATTAAAAATGACCCCCACTGGGCGTGGCTTAAATGGTTGACTAAGCAGGGTCGTATTCAAATATAATTAAAGTCCGTATGCAGAATTACAACTTTTAAATGACTTACTTACCTAAGATTTGTTTCAACATGATCGATTCGAAATTAATTTGATGACATTGCGCAATTATGACTTCTACACTATTTACTATTATTTATTAACCGTTTTCCGACCAAGCCAATTGTCGCCACAGCATTTTTAAAATCTTCAATATGTAGAACGTTCGCACAAAAATCTAAGGCAGTTGCGACGCTTTCGCTAAATTGCGACGCTTTCGCTAAATAGTTGGGTTGCAAGACGAACTTTCATTTTTTGTTTTTAAAAGCTATATGTTGCGAGTTTAGCTTATTTGCTAAGTGGAAAGATTCATTTTCCTGTAATTCGTGAAGTTGTTTGAAATACTTCCACTCAACAATTGTATTTTCTTCATTTACAAATGAATACTTTTCTGCTAAAGTATTTCTAATTAACTTTAGCATATGTGGCGGATCTAAAAATATAACAATTTCTTCATTATTTGATGGGTGCTTGAAACTAGTTTTTAAAGTTGTATGATGTAAATTACAGCCCAAGAGTTTGGCCATTGTTAGATTATTAGAAGCACCATCAAATGTTAAACTTACAACACTAACACCTACTTCATAACATTTCTTTAAGCATTCTAATACCAGCCCCTTTTTCTGTTTACCTGTCATACTTGAAATTAAAAAATATCCTACTGGAATTTTCCAGCTTCCATTTACACAATTTAATAAGAAAACAAGAGCATTGTTTGCAAGCGTAGTTTCATTTGCACCCGTTCCTACATGTACACAACCATAACTTCTACGTTCACTTCCAACAAACTCCTCATGTTGACGAATGGCCATTTCATCCATAATAAGTGCACAAATTATTTTTTCATTGGAAGAATTTGATTTAATTTGTAGGGCATTGAAAGCCTCACTTGTGAATCCAGGCTCACCTTTTATACTTTGATACCATCGACTGATTGTACGGATATGTGGTAAGCAAGTGTTAAATGTTCTCCTTACATAATTATAAGCAGCAGGTGAGTAATAGTGGAGAGTTAAGGAAAACACTTTTAGCTCTTCTGAATACTTCTTAGGCAATGGTAGGTTAGACTTTTTTTTTAATTGCCTGCTACATATCTCGATGGGGCCCCCAAGTTTTGACATTATATCTAACTCATCTTCCTGTATCAAACGTTTTTTACTTAAATCATTTAATATATTTTTTAAGTTGGCAATTTTATTCACTTTTCGAGAAAGTTGTCGTCTTAGCAATTTTAATTTTTGCTTTCTTTTTGCACTTGTTGCCCGGACAGAGGAGAGTGTATGTAATATTTTTTGTTTCTTTGGCGTCAGCGGTTATTCATATGGAATATTTAGAGAAGAAGTAGAGGGTACAGGTAATTCGATCCGACTGGTTTGATTTGCTGGTTTAATAAGAATATTTGATAGGATCCTGATTTTTGGAGGAGGAGGTGTAGGTATAGATGGGTTAGTCTGGAACAAGATTTGGTATGTTATAAAGCCTTAAATATAGATCCATGATACAAAAACTACTAGTTTAAGTTCCAAAACTACTAATTTTTAAATATCATTAACTTCGTAATATTTAAATTATATTTATTGTGTATTGTGAACAAAGTCGGCAGGTTTTTAAATTAAGGAACATCAATTTAATGTTCGTTCATTTAATATTAATAATAATTGTAATGTGGTCCATGAGCGGGCATATTATTTTATATCATGAGGATGAGGAGGTACATAGCAGTGAGTGATGGCCACAAATCTAATTAAATAATAAAAATACATCACCAGTATTTATTATTATACAGTATATTCATTATCAAAACGGTATAATAATAGGAAATTAGGATCTAATAAAAACTGCTTTTAAATACTTGAAATTTTATTCTAAATTATGTGTTACTTAAAAAGTTAGTCATTTAAGTGTAATTATAAGTTGGTTTTTAAGTTTAATTATAAGTTGGTTTTTAAGTTTAATTATAAGTTGGTTTTTAAGTTTAATTATAGTTGGTTTTTAAGTTTAATTATAAAGTTAGTTATTTAAGTTTTATTATAGTTATCTAAGTTTTAATATAGTTATTTGTCTTTATTATAAAGTTAGTCAAGCCAATGTTCTTTATTAAGTTAGTTATTTAAGTTTTATTGTAAATAAAGTGTATAGTAACTGTTACGTATTAGCTGGAAATCTGGCAACCATGTATTTGTTTTAGCGCTTTTGACAGCAGTCATTTTCATGTCTCTTTTTAGTCTGTAATTTGTTGCACAGTTGTTCTGTACTTTACAGGAATTAAAGTGTGTTAATCTCGATGATTGTTTTAATTCCAGGTAAAATTAAGGTACAAGACCTTACATTTTCTGGCGACGAGGATGGGATCCCGCGGATTTCATTAAATGTGTAAAATTAGTGACTCAACTAAACTAGTGTAATAATAGTACGATCAAAATGGCGATGCTCGGTAACATCGAACAATTTAACGCAAATGATCCTACCGGATGGGAATCATACCAAGAAAGAATCGAATTCTTTTTGGCAGCTAACGGAATCACGGATGTAAATAAGAAAAAAGCGGTTTTTCTTAGTGTTTGTGGGTCATCTACATACGAAATTTTACGTTCGCTAATAGCACCGACCAAGGTGATAAACAAGTCGTATGAGGAAATAGTGACAGTGTTACAACAACATTTTACGCCGCGTACTTCGGAGATCGTCTACCGATTTCGATTCTACAGACGGGACCAACAGCCCGGGGAAACATTTTCCGTGTATTTAAAGGAATTGCGTCATTTAGCTGAAAAATGCGGGTTCGAAAACTTAGAAAACATGCTTCGTGATAGGATCGTTTGTGGAGTTCGCGACGAAAACCTACAGCGCCGTCTATTAGCTGAGGACAAAATCACGTTCCAAAAAACTCAAAATTTATGCCTCGCCCACGAGGGGGCAGCCCACAGTCTAGCAGCGATACGTGAAACATCGAATTCATACAATTCGGTGGCAACGTCATCGACAGCTTCTGTAAACAAAGTCGGTAATTCCCACAATAACAAACAATCGCGCGGAAGTGGGTCAAGATCATCAGCTGTTAATTTTGCGGGACGTAAAAATAAATGTTTCCGCTGTGATGCTGAACATTCACCGGACACGTGCGGTTTTAAAAACGTAAAGTGTCGTTTTTGTAATAAAGAGGGACATATTGAAAAAGCTTGTTTCTCAAAGAAAAGGCAAATAACAAGAAAAAATGTTCATAACATAGATGGACAATCATCGTCGGACGATGAAGTTAATAACATTCACAATCAAATGGATTTTTCAATGAATAAAATTCAGACGGATAAAATTACGGGTAAAATATTAATTAACGTTAGAATTAATGAAAAAAATGAAAGTATGGAGGTTGATTCGGGTGCCGCATTTACAGTAATGGGAAAGTCCACTTTTCAGAACATTTTTTGTAATAATCCGCCTGTTATTCGCTTTTCGAATAAAATTTTACGGGATTATCAACACAAGATCATATCGATAATAGGCGAGTGCGATGTTCTGGTGAAATATGGAAGCAAAAGTGCTATTTTGCCACTCATCATTGTTGACGCCGACAGAGCCAGTCTCTTAGGTAGAAATTGGTTTTCAGAGTTAGGTTTGTCCATCACTGGGGTAAGTCAAATTTCAAATTTTACTAACTATATCAAAGAATACCCGGAAGTGTTCAATGAAAATTTAGGACAATACAAAGGTCCACCTGTTACGTTTGACCTAGACTCTACAGTAAAACCAATCACATTAAAAGCTCGAAATATACCTTTTGCACTTAAAGACAAGGTAGATAAAGAATTAGAAAGATTAATAGAACAGGGGGTGCTCGAACCTGTAACATATCCAAAATGGTGTACTCCTATTGTTGTTGTTCCGAAAAACAAAGACGAAGTTCGTATTTGCGGTGATTACCGGAGTACTATAAATAAAGCTTTACGTGCTGACACTTATCCAGTGCCGTGCGTGCAAAATATTTTGTCTGCATTGAAGGGGGGTACAGTGTTCGCAAAACTTGACATGGCTCAAGCCTATTTACAATTAGCTGTAGATCATACTGCAGCCGAAGCACAAACCATTATTACGCACAAGGGTGCATTTCTTTGTAAAAGACTTCAATTTGGTGTCTCGGTGGCGCCACAAATTTTTCAACGTTTTATAGACACAAGACTCTCCGGTATACAAGGAATTTTACCGTATTATGACGATATTCTGATAGTAGGTGTGTCGGATACGGATTTGGAGCAGAAAGTGCGGGCAGTGCTTTCTCGTTTTCGCGAGGACGGTTTACATTTACGGAAAGACAAATGTGTATTTAAGGCCGATAAAATAACTTTTTTAGGTTTCGAAATAAGTGCGGAAGGCATTAAACCTACAAAGGACAAAGTAAGTGCTATAGTTAACGCACCTGCGCCTACAAATAAAACGGAGTTACAAGCATTTTTGGGGCTTCTAAATTTCTATCACATATTTTTGAAAGATAAAGCTTCGATAGCTGAACCACTTCACAAACTTTTGCATAAAAATGTAGCATTTCAGTGGCGTGCGGAGCAAAGCAGGGCTTTTGTGAAACTTAAGAACATTATCGCGACAGAACCGATCTTGGGACATTACGACGAAGGTAAACCTTTAATTCTTACGTGTGACGCAAGTCCTTACGGAGTGGGATGTGTGTTAGCTCAACTTGACGAATACGGGGTGGAAACTCCAGTGGCGTTTCATTCGCGAACACTCTCATCCTCTGAGAGGAACTTTGCCCAAATCGATCGCGAAGCTCTAGCAGTGATTGTCGGCATCAAAAAATTTCATACCTACGCCTATGGCAGACATGTGCTCATAAAGACTGACCATAAGCCATTACTCGGAATTTTTGGCTCAAATAAAAGTATTCCTGAAATACTTTCGCCGCGTATGTTACGTTGGACTCTTTTATTGAGTGCTTATGACTATAATATACAGTATGTCCCTGGAAAACAAATAGGAAATGCTGATGCATTAAGTCGTTTACCGCTTAAGGTAAATGCTCCCGAAGCACCTCTTTTAGACGACGTTTTGATGCTTGAAAACATCCCTGAAAAGATACTTTGTGCTAAAGAAGTTGCAGCAGAAACTAAGAAAGACCCAGTTTTGTCTAAAGTTTTACAAATGGCTTGGAAAGGTTGGCCAAAAAATAACGAGGGATTTCCCGTGGAAATCTCACCCTATTTACAAAGAAAAAATGAAATAAGTTGCTATCAAGATTGCCTGTTATGGGGTACTCGGGTAATTATCCCACCAGGGGGGAGGAAAAGAATATTGGAAATCTTACATTCAGCACATCCCGGCATAGTTAAGATGAAAGGACTAGCTCGCTCATACGTGTGGTGGCCGAACCTGGACAAAGAAATTGAAGACTGCGTCAATTCTTGTCATGAATGTCAAGAGGCAAGAAAAATGCCAAATAAAGCACCACTGCACCCCTGGGAGTGGTCACGTGCCCCATGGACACGTTTACACGTGGACTTTGCGGGTCCCACAGACGGAAAATACTTCCTAATAGTCATCGACTCGTTTTCAAAATGGCTGGAAGTCCGACAAGTTCCAACTACATCTTCTATAGTGACTATAATGGTTCTCAGGGAATTATTTGCTACTCATGGGATACCTGATGTTTGTGTATCGGATAATGGAAGTTGTTTCACGTCGTTGGAATTTAAGGAGTTTTTAAAAAACAATGGCATTCGCCAAGCTCTTGTGGCACCTTACCATCCTAGCAGCAACGGTCAAGCTGAACGCATGGTACAAAATGTTAAAAACGCTTTGAAGAAAATGACCGGGAAAGATATTTCCCTCAAACTATCTCGCTACTTGATATCTCAACACATATCACCTCATGGAATGACGGGTAAATCTCCTGCGGAGATCTTGATGGGTCGAAAGTTAAATACACTGCTTGATAAAGTTTATCCTGATTTTTCCAAAGAAATGGTAGCCAAGCAGGAAAAACAATTGCAAAACAAACCAGTTAGATCTTTCGTAGAAGAAGACCCTGTATTTTGCAGATCTTTTGTCCCAGGCCAAAAATGGTTACCCTCTACCATTGTAGAACCAACAGGGCCATTAAGTTACAGAGTGGCCACACCCGATGGTAAAATAGTAAGAAGACATACCGATCAATTGCGAAATAGACATACGCCTTCAGTTCAGCTGGATAAACCTAGTGTACCAGAAATAGAGCCCAACGAAGAGGCTGAATCCGAGGTACTTAATCCAAGCGCCTCCATGACGCCTGAGGTTTCTCCTGTGATTGATCCTGTGGATTCTATAAGACGACCCGCACGTATTAGACACCCTCCAAGATATTTAGAAGATTTCATTCCCTAGGTATATTCAAATCCAAGGAGGAGGAGTGTTACGTATTAGCTGGAAATCTGGCAACCATGTATTTGTTTTAGCGCTTTTGACAGCAGTCATTTTCATGTCTCTTTTTAGTCTGTAATTTGTTGCACAGTTGTTCTGTACTTTACAGGAATTAAAGTGTGTTAATCTCGATGATTGTTTTAATTCCAGGTAAAATTAAGGTACAAGACCTTACAGTAACTAAACATTCATTTATTGTCTGAACAGCATTCTTCTTCAATCTGACCCTAAACTCACTCTTATCAAAAAATTCTTCCTTAAAGTGAATAGAGCACAACATGCTATTCGGTTAAGCTCAAATTGGTCTTTTCCCACAAATTTAGACCAAATTTTTTGATATTGTGGGTCTTTTGGAAACCTATAATAAAAAAAAGTTAAGCATTCTTAAAAAAAATTCTAAGTTCACTCCTTATACTTACTTATGAAAACTTAAATTAGATATTTTCTTACGCTCTTCCACTGAAGAGTTTTTACAATTATTTTTGGCATACTTAGTCATGATTTTTATACAAATTAATCAAAAAAAAAAACACTTATTAAGATAGAAATAACGTCGAAATATTTAAATTTGAACAAAGTTCTGACAGCTCTTTGACAACTATGACATGACCACTAAGAGAGGGGGAAGGGGTGTCGTTTTTTTTGGCATGTCATCTCCATAGTATTCAACCTCATTGGTTTCCCCTGAACATAAGTTTAAATCGTATTTGCTCTTAGTTTTTTTCGTGTTATTCCGTTGACAATAGAAATAATAGTTTAATTAATACTCATTTGACTTGTGTCAAATTAAGTATACATTTCATTAAAGTATCTTTTTTGTCAGAAATGTATTGAAAAATAAATCAAAATTCAAAAAGACGCGACTATGGGGTAAAAGAAAGTAATAATGAGTAACAAAACAGAAACTAGCGAAGTTAAAGATGACAAATCAAGGAAGGTATTAAAAAAATCAAAATTTACAAAAATATAGGCTTAGGCTTCCTTTCGTTTTAGCCTTTTACATCTTTAAAGATCATTATGGCTGGTTCAGTTTCTGGAATCATTTCGTCAGTGTTCCTGCAACCTTTCAACGTATTAAAAACCCGTTTGCAAAATCCTCAAACGCCATTAAAAGAGTAAGTAAGTATGTGTCTTTCAATAAATGTTATAGCATATGAACGTTTAGTCTAGGTTATTAATATTATTTATTTTTAGATTAAATTGATTTATCTCTGATTTCAGTTGCAAACATAATCGTCATAGAATAATTTCCTTATTGTCTCACATAAGAAAACATGAGCATGTATCAGTTTTATGGGCTGGTACGGTCCCTGTAAGTAATTACATTTTCGTTTTCTTTTGGTACCGTCTAATCATAAACTTTTATCTCTAATTTTGTAGACCATCATGAGAAGTATACCAGGTAGTGGTATATATTTTTACATATACGACAATATTAAAGAAAAGTTCTTTCCTACAAGACCTCCAAACACTCTAGAATCTTTAACAACTGGTATGGTAACACGAGCTCTCACAGACGTTTTCGTTATCCCATTGACAGTAGTAAAAACTAGGTAAGTAATATTTTTTGAATCGATTTTAGATAATTTATACTTTTGATTATTGAGTTTGTTTCTGCAGGAGTTTCTGATGTTCAGGAGGAGTTTGGAAATGGTTTTCTGACTGTCAGAAGCATCTGCAGAAACATACCTATTAAATTCGTTTAGATTGTTTTAGAGTGGAAAGCGGCGTGTACAAATACGACGGAGTCTTTACAGCAATCAAAATGATTTACCAGAACGAAGGAATTCGTGGACTGAAATCGGGATTACTTCCAATTCTTATCAGAGATTGTCCCATGTCAGGAATATACGTTATGTTTTATAATCAAACCCAGAGATTAATACCACAAGGTAGTGTTATGATTTAAAATTAGAATGTTTCTTCTTCATTTAAGAAGTATCATGAATTGAGGGCTCGTCAGTATTTTATAATTATAACGTTCATACGTTTTTTGAAGTAATTTAAAAAGTACCAGTCTTCACTCTTCAGAATGATCAAACATATTGATGTTGGAGTTAGTTGTATGCAGTGCTCTAATCTCTAACTTGCAATTACTTCAAAGTTTACTGAGAATGATATGAAGGTTTTCTGCCTGGCCTTTACATATCTCTAATATTAAAAAGTATATTTAAAGTGACACCTTTTGGAAATTAATCTTTTTTTTTTAATGTATTGCTTAAAATTCAGTTTCTTTTATTGCCTGTAATATGTTTGATACAGTTTCTATTATCCTTAACTAGATAAAATAAAACACTAGACTCCTAAAAATACTTTAATTTATTTTTAAAATACTTAAAACTATTATTTCAGAAATATCCATGGAACACCCTTTCTACGTACACTCGAGTTGCGCAGCTCTTTCTGGAGTCCTGGCGTCGATTTTAACTCACCCTTCTGACGTCCTCAAAACCCAAATGCAATTGTTTCCAAACAAATATCCGAATCTGAGGTCCGTCTTTACCAGCATTTACACCGAACACGGCATCCAAGGGTATTTCCAAGGGGTGATTCCCCGACTACTCAAAAGAACGGTTTTCGCTGCCATATCTTGGCCCCTGTACGAAAAAGTGGCATTTCAAAACAAGAAGAACCAATTAACATAAAATACAATAAAATACGTTTTATATTAAAGTTGAAATAAAAGATCCTGCCTAGCTCTATATAAATGTAGTTTTTTTTTCGCTAATCTTTTGAAGTTGCTGTACATTATAGTCAAGTTGATAATGTTTAAATTGAAATTAGATACAGTGTATACAATTAGATACAACCAATATAATTTTTTCTTCGCCAAAAGTAGATGATTTCATCGGAAGACATTGCCGTTGCAAGGTTAATGCAAGAGCTTTACATCTATCAGTTTACATAGCAAAATAGAAGCAAAATTTTATTTCAAAAGAAACTAAATTATAATTTCGGAAAAATCTCTAAGCCAGATTGAATTTTCTAGTTCCGGAGTCGGTTCATCGCGTTGTTTGAAAAATTGAACTATGCCAGATAGGACATCATTAAAACGTTTCAGCACCCGTCCTCTACTTAACCATCGGACTTCAGAGTGAAGGAGTAGGTCCCCGTATTGACAGTCAACTTCATCGGCCAAGGTTTTGAATAATCTTCTTTGTAACGCTTGAGCTCTAATCTTGTTCACAATTTTTACCACCAGTTTCATAACGTTATTTAGTTTCAGGAAATTTCCATATAATGCTTGCTGATGGATAATGCAGTGGTAACAGAGAAATTGCGGAAAAGTTTCATCTTTACGACATAACGCCACTAGACCCTTATCACAACCCACCATAGTTGGAGCGCCATCGGTTGTCAAGCCTACCATTTTCGATATTGGAATTTTCTCGGAAGAAATAATATTTTTTAAATGAGAAAACAACTCCTGTCCAGTAGTGTGTCCTTTCAGTGGAATAAACTTCAAAAGATCTTCTTTAATCGTAAAATCACTAAAAACCATCCTGACGAACACGGCCATCTGGACAGTGTCATCCAGTCGAAGTGAAAAATAAACACAGTTATCTAAGTCAGCTCTTAACTGTAAAAAAATATCATTGCTCATTACTTCTACACGTCTCATCGATCACTGTATTAGCAGAAAGTTGCATAATGTTATAGCTGAAACTATCTCGTCTTTATTTCTAAAGTTGGCAAATAACGAATCAGCAGCTTCTAAAAACGTCTGTTTTATCATTTCCCCGTCTTCATAAGGTTTCTTTTTTGTGCAATTATCTGGGACACACGGTACGATGTTTCAGTTGCAGCCTTATTTTTGTCGACTGTTCTTAAAAATATTGATTGTTGTCCAATTAACTGCTTTTTTAGCTGTTTCAGTTTCTCCTTTCTGGCGGCAGAATGTAGTAGGAATGATTTTTCAAAATTAGAATGTACAGTTTTATGATGTCTCTCAATATTTCCTTTTTTAGCAACGGAGACCGAAGTATTACATAACAAACACACATTTTTATCTTTAACTTCTGTAAAAAAGTATTGTTCTTCTCATTCCGAATGAAAGTGGTATGTCTTTCTTTACCTTCTTACAACTGCTTGCCATAATATTATTTTTTGTTGTTCTCTACTAACCCAACCGCTGGACATTGGTTACGCTTTCAGTTTTAAACTAAGCGAAATGTCGCCGCGCCGTGCGTATTTATCCCGTTTAAAGCAATCCTGATCGTTCTTGAACACTAACGCGCTGGTCCGGCTGGTCGGTTCTAGCCGATTCTAGCTTGATGGCGTCAGCGGCAGATCGCTCACCGCAACGTTGCCGCTGTTTATGTTTAATATTATGACAATTAGATTTTTTTGTGGAATTTTCGGAATCTTCTCTGATTTTTGCAGGGTGTATTTTTTAAATTAAAATCGTTGTGAGAGCTACCAGAATTACCTCCGCGAGCTACCGGTAGCTCGCGATCGACAGGTTGGCAACTACTGCGCTAGACATATTGCCGAAACGACAAATTTACAGTTTCCTTTGAAATAAAATCCTGCTTCTATTACTTGCTATGTAAACTGATAGATGGCGAAATCTCTTGCAATAACCTTTTAACGGCAAAATTTATTTCAATGAAAACATCTAGTACTGGGTAAGGTGCTGGGCGACTGACAAACCTTTTTTTTTAATCAGTGACTTGCTTTAAAAAATGGCTTGCTTTTCCCGGTAATTGAATTCAGGTCGCGTGATCCAAAGTTGAGTGCGTAACAACCTGAGTAGACTCCTTCTTCGAGCGCACCACCGCTGCTGCGTCTACCAAAGTATTTCCATCTTCTACGGATACATTTTCTTATATTTCCGATTTGGATCTTGTAATTTATGAATACATCATGTGAGCAAGCCACTATCTGGTGTTTTTCGACATACCAATCACTAATCCATGGAATTTAAAAATACATTTTTCTTTCCAGAAGTGGTTCCATCGTGAGGATCTTGTTTACACGCAGGCTGACAGCTGGTAACCAGAAGTCGCAGTTCTTGAGCCAAGGTAAGTTTTTGATCTAGATCGCTAATATGTTTTTGTATATCAATAGCTCCAAATCGGCAGCTTATAAAATATAAAAGTAATTTTAAAAACGTCTCCAAAAGTGAATACATGATGATTTGTTCAGTATGCTAAATTATGGCGACAGTAAAATTTGTGGATATAATTATTACTTATTTATGGTGTAAGGGGTTTTCTCGCCACAGAGAAAACGATTCCTTACGAATGACGCTGGTTACGGGCGGTTCTCGAGCGCCAGATTTTTGGTGATGGTTTACTCCACGAACTTTCGAAACGGCGTCGAAAGTACTCGGGTAGCTACAGATGGAGATGAAAAATTCCAGGGGTCAAAGGTCACTTAGACACAGGTAATAGTAGGCCACAAGTAACGGGCTTTAATAGTTGCTTGGGCTGGTACAGAATTAATCACTTGCTGAAATATAAGGGGGAAATAAATTTAGGAATTAACAACCAGTAATACGGCCAGTTAACATTGACATATTGTTTTAAAATATTTACAAACGAAAAGGAATAATTTAATGTATTTCAAATGTTGTTCCTCAAAATATATTTTGTGAGTCGGTTCGGCGTGGCTTAGTGGTCCAGGATGGTGTGGCGAAGATGTGACAAGAGGTTAGGTTACCTTTACGGTGATGGAAGTCCCTCGAAGTCAATACCTTCGTGGGAGAGATTCACGGGAAAGAAACACCTACAAAGTCAATACCTTTGCAGGTAAGGGTCGGGACGTCGGGAAACCCACAGAGTCAATACCTCAGCAGGAGAGGAGAGTCTTGCTAAGTCAGTACCTTAGTTCGACTGACGAGAATTAAATTCGGAGCTCTTTATATACTTGTCTCTGCTTGGCAAAAACGGCTACATGCTGAACCATAGGCGTATCTAAAACGGTGTTACTGGGGAACATCGTTACAATGGCGAGTGTGTTATTCAGAGTGCGTCTGCTGCATCGGCATTGTACAGTGAACGCTTTCCCTTGAAAAGTGCAGACAACATTACGGAAAGATGTAGAGTACGATTCAACTTAGAAGAAGCCACGAGCGTCAATATTCCTTCTCCGTTGATCCAGATCGATATACCAGTGGCGTAGGCTCTTATTTAAATAAGAATTAACGCAGTTTCCCAACAAAAAACATTTATTGGATTAAAAAGTTAAATTTTAATGATTTAAACATTTGTATATTACCTAAATAACTAAACTAAAATAACATTACATATATTTTTCGACTTTAGACTTGCAAAACATTCAGTGGGAAGTAAATAAAAATAGCAACACAATTTTGTAATTTAAGATTTTTATTACAATTAAAAAATAGTTATTTATGCAACTAGTGCAAAAAGTGAAACTAGAGGAGTACATCCTAGTTCGATTGTTAATGAACTATTATTAGTACTCTCGCTGTAGTCACTTTCTTCCGATGAACCCGTATTTTTGTTCGTAAGTAAAAGCTTGGCAACGCCGAAGTTTGGCTCACAATAATAAGGGATCCATGTTTACGCGATAGCTTCTGTTCGAATTATATTCTGGACCATGCGGCAGTCGTACAGCGTTGCCAAATTATTAAGCAATTTTATCTATATATTAAAAAAACGAAAAAGATCGCCAAAACGCCACTGACGCTTAAATGGGATGGACCTGAGAGAGAGGCAAATTATTGCGGCCTCTGTCAGGTATGATGTGTGTGGCTTTTTCTTAGTTGAATCGTACTTTATCCCATTTGCGCATGTACTCAAGCACTACAACTTGAAGATTTCCCCCGCAAAATTCAAGTGAATAGTTCTGTCAACATTTTTCGACAAAAGTTCTAACACCTTGTATATGGGACTGTCACTGGCTCCTTATGTATGTAATGACCACGGAGCATGACATGATGTGCGTTATTCATCGTGGTAATGATAAATTGTCAAAGTTTTGTTATATTTTAGGTTACACATGTCTAAAATACTTTCCAAATAATCATCAAAACTAAAAATAATGTCCGTTTTTTTAAAAAATTACCAGCCCCATTGAATTTGCGTGGCCGAATAAGAATATCCTCTCTGTTTTATGTTGGTACCTGCATTTATTTCATGATTTCAATAATGATTTCGAAAAAGAATTTAACTGATTTGAACCCATAGTAAATTTTAAAATATCTTTCGTTGGTTATGGGTAACAATGATGAACAAACTAATACATCGCTGAAAGACAAAAAAGGTAAAGGGGTAAGTTGATTTTTATAATCGATAAGAGTATTATTCAGTTATTACACTTATTAGTTTTGTATTTTAGCATTATCCTTCAATGACGGTATTCTTCACTGGTTCTTGTTCTGCGGTTCTGTGTTCTATTTTATTGCAGCCTTTAGATGTTTTGAAAACGCGATTGCAAAATCCTGATACCCCGCTAAAAGGGTAAGTAATTATTGCTCTGATCAGTTGAAATATGGTCAAAAGCGTCAATTAGTACAAAAAAATTAGTTTTTTTTTTTTTTTATTCGTTAACCCAATAATAATAATAATAATAATTTTGAATGATGGAAACTCTTCCTGGAGTATTTTGTATCCTCTCACAAAATTAATCAATTGATTCTATCTGGTATTTTGCGTTTCTTTTAGGAGTTTCTTCATATTTTTCCCTTCTTTTTGAATTGGTTTTATTTTCCAATTTTGAGCAATTCCATGATAATCCGGATTAGACTATCAGTAATTTGTGAATAAATTAAGATTCATTCATGCAGTTGCTTAGATGATTTGCAGCTTCAAGTTCGTTGCTTGTCTTTAGGGATAGGTCAGATTGAGGTCATAGGTAATTTTTTATGTATCATGACTTTATCATTAATATTCTTATGTTACCAAATAGTTTAGAGGAGTATCCCCAGCAAACATTTTCTGTAACATTAGTTATAACTCGACTTTGTTAAAGACGAATTTACTTATTGAGGTAATTATTACGTAAAATTGACTAGAAAAATATACCTCTAATGTAAATTTACCAAACGGTTTTAATTTATATTTAAATTTACGTAAATTATACCAAGAAATCTACCTTTTACACAAATCTGCTTAAAAGTAACTTTAACCATATCAGCAAGGGAAAAACTACTTAAAAAAATAACCAACAATTACTTCAAAGTTAAATTTCCTTTGTAGTAAAATTAGGTGCCATATTTAGGTAATATCTACCTGTTTGGCAACTAAAAATCGTCTTTATAGTAGAATATCCAACTAGGTAGATTTGGTTAAAAATTCTACGTAATTTTATGCCTCCATAGTAACCTATTTGGCCGCTTTTATTTACTCTCCTTTAAAGTAATATTAGGTCGAGATCGTAGCAAAATTCTACCTATTTATCTACCTAATTTCAATCAAATAGTCGAATACTCATTTAGTTGACCTATAAGTCATCTTGAAGAAATATTTATTAACTTTGTTGTAGCAATTACCTAAAAAATGTACCACAAAGTAAATTCGACTAAAAACCACCAATTTAAAAAGATTCATACATAACCTATTTGTAAAATTTATATTATTTAGGTTATTTTAACAATTAGGTTGTTTAGTTACTGTCTTCATCATTATTCTTAAGAATTTCGGCCATTTTAAAAAAACCATTACAGTCGTAATCTTAATTTACGTGTGGTGTAGATAGAGCTTTAAATGAGTGCGAAAAATAATTAATAAAATGAGTTCGAAAAATAATAAATCTTATCGTTATACTTCCGATTTTTATCGTAAAGTGAAACGTCTAAAATCTCAAGTGCAGAACAACGTGACCTAAATATGTTATATTTACCTATAGGTAAATTTTTTATAGAACCTATAAGTTATTATTTCTTTAAATAGGTAAAGTTAACTAATATGTCGTGAAATTGAAGTTAATTCAACTTAGTAAAAAGGTATTTGTAAAATACGTAGATTTCCTTAGTCATAATAACTTTTAGGTCGAATTCGCACAATACGCCATATTTTCTTAACGTAATTGAAGCACGATTCCAAATTTTAAATTTTTAAAATGACCATAACTAAAACATACGAATGAAAATACCGAAAAACGAAACATTATTGATTTTCTAAAGAAATACACAACAAACGTAACATAGTTTTAGCTCATAATATTATTATTATTTTTTTACACGATCATATTTTTTTCTTATATTTTTTTAATTAGAGAGTATTTTGGAAGGGCATTGTTATTTTTCTAAGTAGAACTGTTAACATGCACGACAAAATTTTCTTCGCATTAATTTCAACAAGCGTGAACTGTATATTCACCGCAATTACATTACATATATTTTTGTCACAGACATTTATTTATTTTCAATCTTTCATGTGAATTAGGTATATGTTTTAGTTGTGTTGGTGACTTCTTATAATATTTCTACTTATATATAGATAAAAATACCAAATAAGTATAAAATTTCTTTTCGGACACTTGGAGGCATACGTCATCTGCAAATATTTTGGTAGTTTCTACCTAAACTTAGTTAAATCAACGTCGAATTAACGTTATACTGACGTCAAATTTCCCTAGAGAGGTATTACTAACCAAACGTACTGGGCTACTACAATGTGGATTTAGATGTAATTCTACCTATTTTGGTAAATAAAACCAAATTTCGACGTCGTCTTATTCTCCACTTATGTCGAATCCACGTCGAGCCAACGTAAATTTTACTTAATTATGGTTAAATCTAATTTTGCGACCAAATTTATTATATATAATTTAGGTAGTATCGACGTCAAATTACACCAAAATGTTTGCTGGGTCTGTTCAAAAATGACGTACATTTTTTAACAGATACTTTAGTTATTCTCTTTATGATCCACCTTCGTATAAGTAATGTAAAATAATTCTATATAGTTAAGAACAACAATATATTTCTTTATTAAAACTACCTAAATGAATAATCTTGCATAAAATAAAAATTACGTTTCAATTACATAAATAATAATCCAACACTGGTAAATATTGTTCAACATATTCCGAATGACTATCTGCCTGGCAACAAGTTAACTCGAAAGCAGTTTGAACATCTGGACGCTCAACAATTTGTAACACATCACTCAGCAGACTGGTATAGAACACGTTATTTCCTTAAACCATTCACAGACTATTAGACTCGACATGAAAGGACATGTTTTTAGTTGAGAATCATTTGAACATCCAAGCGAAACAGTCGCAAATTTAACATTAAAACAAATGATGTATTTATAAAAGATTTTTTAAACCGGCATGTTTTGTGCTCAGTTTGTTATATAAAATAGTTTCACAAATAAACTATTTGTTATGCGCTTGTTAAATGGTATTTAAGAAGATAAAATAAAACCAGTTATTATTAAAAGCAAGGTACTTTAATTTCTGAATTCCACAGCACATTTTAATCAAATAGCAAGACTTTCTACACGATTCGTCATTTAGTTGCTACAGTCCACCCTTTACTTCATACGACGATGATTGATGAAAAAATATCGCCGATATGTGACAGTCTATATATTGTTACGTTTCTGTTTTTATTTTAAACAGTTTAATTATTCTGATTTATATTCACTAAATACACCAACTTATTTTATAACTAATTTATTTTTACTCAAAACTACATTGATTTATATTTACTTAAACACATTTATCTTTATTTGACAACATTTATCTCTAAAACTAACTCAGTAAGAGCAAAATACACCACTTACTTATATACAAAAATTTAACAGCCTAGAAAAATCTAGTTCAGTCTCAAAGAATTTCGATGCTAGTCTACACGTCTTGATATCCTTCCTCTATGAGTCGATCCGCGCGCAAAGAATCTTTCAGTTGCTTCTCGAGTCTCGAAGTCGGCAGCGAAAATGGATCTCTGTCTTTGTGAACGGCGATAAGCATAAACAAAGATTAGAGCCAGGCTGGTTGCACGGCAATATCTATGAGAGATACTGCGGCATTGAGAAGGCAGATAAAAATCTTAAAAAAAAAATTAAAATGGCAAGGATTTTTTTAAAATTTGTAATAATATTGATGCTCGATTCTATGACTTCTATTCCTTCTTATTTATTTATTTAATAATAACCACATTTTGTTCTAGTCGAAGTAGAAAATTTCGCATTATAAATATTGTCCAGCATATCTATAGGCACGAAAACATAAGAGCCTTTTGGTACGGAACATCTGCTGTAAGTATTTATTTTATCTTCATTGTCGTATAAATAATGAAATAAGCTGGATCTAAAAAAAGTAGGAGGGTGTGCTAGGCTCTACGGTACTTGGGATTCGTTAAATTCATTTCCCGAGAAAATTTTACATTATACAAAGAATAATTGCTATATAACAATATGTATGTGCAATGAACAATACTTCCTTATTGATTTCTCTGCACACGAATCCTATACGGATACAAACTTTATGTCTCTTTGTGCAGAATGCATATCGCGTCTGTATTTGGTGAACGTTGAGCACTATTACTCTCTAAAATTTCAAAAATCTTGTATTGAATTTCTAAATTGACATATTCCACTCTTCTCTTCACTGCGTAATAATCTTGGCGGCTTTAGCTATATAATATCTGTCGTACTGTATAGGATATCTATAGTTTTATGTGTTTTTTTTAGACAATTTTGCGAGGTATTCCAGCTGGAGGTTTGTACTTCTGCACTTACGATTGGTTAATAACAAACCTTGTTCCTGATCTACATCCTACTACGATGCAACATACTGTCTTAGGAATGTCGGCACGAGCAGTAACCGACATAACACTAATACCTTTATCAGTAGTTAAAACTAGGTAAAAGCAATATCACAATATATCTGTGCGGAGTACTTTTCTTGACATAATCCTTGTTCACTATAGTATCACTTAATTAACGCCCAGTGGCGTAGCCACGGGGGGATTTGGGGGGTCAAAACTCTCCCCTCCATGGAGGGTCCTCGGGTCACAATTCCCGTTATAGTATTGGCGTTGACCGCTATTAACTATTTGTTTTTATTCACTTTCTTAATGGAACCCCTCCCCCCATAGTCCTCAAGAACCCCTCCCATGAAAAATGGCTGGCTACGCCACTATTAACATCAGTATATTATAGTCTATTTTTATGTATGAGAAAGTATTAAAATAACAAAGCATTCGTAATCCATAGACTTCTTTTAGTAGACAGTTAAAATATTTTTTGAAGTTATTCCTCGAGTATACACTTATATTTTCACCTAATTAACCTGCTTATACCTTCTAAACAGCTGAAGGTAAAAAAGTGCAATTTTTTCTAAAATGTTTTATTTTTCCACAAGGTATGTTAAGAACATTGTGTCAAACGAGTTATGTAGGTATAAGGGTTTAAACTTTGACTTTTAAACAACGTTACGTTCATAAATAATAATTTTAATATAAAAACTACTTCTTACCTACAAATCCAAATCAGAATCGAAATCAGAAGATGAACTGTCGCAACCAATATTTACAATGAGTGGCTCGATCATTTCATCAGTAATATTGTCCAACTTCCACATTTTCTCTTCTTCTTTAATCGTATGATTTACTGCCTTTTCCCAGTTTTCAGGCTTCACATTATTTACAGCCTCCAAAAACAACTGTTTAACATCACTCATTTTAAAAGAATTATTTTTTCTTGAAACTTCTCCCTTTATCTGTGCCCATATCAGTTCAATCGGGTTTACTTCGCAATGATATGGTGGTGATCTAACCACCGTCATCCCACGATTTTTTGCAATTTCAATTTCATATTTTTTTAATTTCTCTTTATGAAGGGAAGACAAATGATACAGTTCTTTTCTCACAGAACCGGGATGGAACTTAATATTCTTTGAATTTAGCCAATTCTGTAAATCTTTTTTTAACCACTTGGTTGTGGGCATTTTTTCTATAAGTCTCGAGTGATAACTTGCATTATCCATTACTATTATACAGTTCTGAGGAAGAAGATCTATAATTTGTTCGAACCACTCTTTGAAGACATCAGCATTCATGTCCTCATGGTAGTCACCGGTACGAGTAGATTCAAAAGTCAATAAACCACCTTCAACAAAACCGTTTGAACTACCGATGTGTACTATTATTAGTCTGCGCCCCTTTCCTGATGATGGATTTAAACCAGTAGATAAATTATTTAAAAAAGCCTGTCTTTGACTTGTAACAGTTTCATCTTGCCAAAATTTATTTGGTTTATGTCCCTCGTTGATCCATGTTTCATCTAAATAAAATATATTTCTTCTTTGGTTTCTCATTTCTTTTATAGGTAATTTCTTCTCCATACTACAATATCGCTTCTTTCTATTAAAATAGACTTTCTGGAATGCTTTTTCCATAAAAAACCTATTTCTTTTAAAAGTTTCCATAGTGTGCTTCGACTCATTTCAGGGTAATCCTTATCATCTCGAACCGTGGCAAGAACTTTGTCTACTGTCGGAAATTCTTTTCTAAAGAAAAACGCATGCACTTTCCTTCGAAGTCTTTCTTTCAAAAGATTTCCTAATTGAAATTTTGGTTTTCCTGGAGCTTTACGTGCTGTTTGAAACTCGCCACATTTCTCTTCTTTAACAACTCTGTAAATCGTAGATTTCCCAACACCAAGCGTACTACTAATTCCACTGTGTCATCAACACTTTTACATAAATGTTTGTCTGTAAATGATTTAAAGCAATTAAATATTAATGTTTTTTCATTAACTGTTAAAGGACCGATTTTTTGTCGTTTACGCGCCCCTTCCAAATTTTCCATGATAACACTAGAATTCACACTGCACCTTGCAAGTTGCAACTAAACGACATTTAGTAAACTGTCAAGAATACACAACTTGGACCTCCTTACTAAATGAAAAACCTATAATCGCATTTTCGGTGAAATTTGTTGGGAAGGTATTTATCTGCTTATAATTCGATTACTGTAAGAAATTCTTGGAATTAAAATAAAACAAAATTGGCAAATAGGTACTTATTGAAAATAATCTTAAGATACGGCTATGTAATCTTTAATACACAAGGCTTTCGGCCTGTTCAAACCTTTTTCTATTGTTCTGTACAGCTTATGTTTATTAAGGACCAATAAAAGACCCAAAACTTGTAATAGCTCAGGTACATTTATTACAATTTTAGGAAATATTTAGATTATTCTGTAAAAATATTTAGAATGACCGTACTGTTTTGCATTAGAAATGCTGTTTTATTACTCTCTCATACATAAAAATAGACTATAGCATGTTACAAGCATACTGTAAATGCTTATTCTACTAGTATCAGTAAAATTGTAAACATTCGAACTAACTTTACTCTATAAGAAACTGTAGTATGATGCCATCTTCCCCCCCCTTACATGATCATCAATCGATAAAATTATTAATTTATTTTTAAATTACTGGCAACAATGACCACTAAATTATTTTGAATTTATAAGTTCCGCGCTAAGTAACATAACCTTGAAATATTTAGGGAAGTCAAAAAATTATACACATCAGTGAAATGTATGCCGTACACTAAAACAAAAAGCAGGTGAAACGAACCATATTATAATTCGGATACTCCTTTTTTTTGGTTTGTAGGATAGAAAGTGGAGTTTTCCATTACGACAACGTCATAACAGGACTTTCGCATATTTATCGAAAGGAAGGAGTGACAGGACTGACGTCTGGATTGATTGCGGTTTTGGCGCGAGATATTCCCACGTCAGGAGCATACATGTTTTTCTTCAATGAAATCCGACTGTTAACGCCCGACAGTAAGATTTAGGTCTATAATTTTCAATGTAGTAAATCAGCCAGTAGAAACCTTCGTAAATAATATTGATTGATGTATTTACGGCATAGGACCTCACAGTTTACCAATCGAAACTGCTAGCGAAACAAATTGAGCTATTCGTAATTTCAGGTATTCGCAAGGCAAATGAACACGTTGTGAATTCTGCTAGTGCTGGTATGGCTGCAACTTTCGCATCGCTCATTACACATCCGCCCGACGTTATGAAAACTCAAATGCAACTTTTCCCAAAAAAAAATCGAACTCTATTTGCAGTTGTTAGGAATACGTACAAGGAACACGGCTTTCTGGGATTCTATCAGGGAATACTTCCGAGAATTATGAAACGTACTATATTCGCAGCAATAGCTTGGACTCTTTATGAAAATGTAAAAACCATTAAGCATAAAATTAAAAAATAATGTCCCTCTAATAGTTTTATTTAATGAAGCAATATTGAATTGACTTTTATTGCATCTAAACCACTGATCTGTAATATTTTCTGGATAGGATTTTAGGCTATATTTGTGCCAACAAGAAGACCAGAAGTGCCACGAGCTGGACGATTTGGGAATTTATAGCAGGCAAATTTTAAATTCAATACAAAGCAATAACATTAATTTTTTATGCATAAAAATTACTATTTAACTCTTAATAAATGTTTACAATGTCAATCAAAATATAAAATGTTAAATTTTACTTGAAATAATAAGTTTCTATTGTAATTTGTCATACCTAACGCAAAAAAGAGGATAATCGATAATCTTTAACAGATACAGATAGCACTTTCCATTATTTTTACCATTCTGAAGACAGCTGTCTACCTAATTAAATGTTCTAAGACAGTTTCCTGGACTAAAACATAATAAAAACTTGTCGTCTTTCGTAAAACGTCAAGAAATTTGAATTTATGAGTGAACAAGCCCATCGACACAAACCTGACAAACAAACAAGCCCATTAATAACAATGATAAGAAATCAGCAGCTGGTGGCCTGACGTTTCTCGCATACAGTGTTGTCGATTATTGCGATTTTTCTCATTATTACCGATTATAATCAATGTAAATATCAGAAGTTCGTCAGTATAATAAATTATTTATGCCAAAATGATTGGAATATGGATTTGCTATTATATAATATTAACGTTTATAAAATTATATTCAGTTTAAAACTCCGAATTAGAAACTAAATGTCATACAAATGCTATCAGACGGGGACCGGGTATTCAACAAATCAATTGGCAACGTCACGCTTACGTTTGACGCATAGTCAATGTTGCCAAACCTCATGATAAATAATGAGATATCGCGATTATTATTGAATTTTACGTTTTTCCATATTTTTTAACTTTACTGTAAAATAAATATTGCTCTAATCCAGTGGCGGTTCTCGTGCATGAAAACTCTTGAAGAATAAATAATAAGTAGTAACACTGAAATCCCATATCCAGCTAGTTCTTGCGATTTAAATACTTTCATTTATTTGTTAAAAATTTAATTTTTTAACGCCAATTCAACAATCTAGAAGAACTGATAAATTGCATAGCAAAAAAGTGGGAAAAGATCAATAACTCACAGCAAATTATGCATTTTTTTTATTGTAGAAACCAGTTTGTGTTTAGACGTAAAAATGGATAATATTTGCAGTGGTTTCTTTTAAAATATATTTAGAAACTGACACTAGAGAATTTATTGAGCAGCCAAATAATAAAACTAATTAAAAAATTGTAAATTGAGTGCAATTTACATATTGCAATTTAATCTTATCTAAACAGGTGATTTATATGATAAATTATCAATGATAATAGAAAGCGAATGCTGAGAAAAATACTTTTTGAATAGGTCTATTTGTAGGTGTATGTAAACTTTCATAATAATTTAGAAAATATTTTTCTCAAGTTCTTTTTAGGTTATTTGTAATTTTTTTATATATTCAGGATTTTCATGTTGATTCACTTGGCAACTCCGCTCGTTGCGTACAACAAATAAAATCTGAAACCAGATATTTAATTTAAATATAAGCTTGGCACATCGGAGAAATAGTATTATTTAATTAATAAGCTATGTAATTGCCAGTGATGCTTTAATTGATATTAATTTATGCGTAGATATTTGCGTATGTTTACAGAAGTGCTGTAATATCGATCTAAATTATAAAAATTTTGTAAACAAGTGTAATTCGAGGATTCGAGCCACTGAGTGTCCATTGATATTTACGCGTGATTTAAAAATATAGAAAGTGCTAAAAATGATTTTTTAGAATCTTAAAACAGTATTATTTCCATGGAGGTATCTTATGAGAATAGATTCAAGCTTACTCGAGATGCTAGTGATAGTAGACATGTATTCAAATTGGAATTGCTTCAGGTAGGTATCTAACTTACTAAATTAATATTAAAATTTTTACCTAAATAATTGCTACGTTTACTTCTATTTAAATATGATCACTTACTAATATTTTATTTGATTTCAGAATTCAACGGTGAGGGCTTTCCTATCTGGATCAACATCTGGAGTAATTTGTACAGTTTTATTACAACCTCTTGACGTTATTAAAACCCGTTTGCAAAATCCAGCTTTATTTAAAAGGTAATTCAATTGTTTATCACTATTACATTGAATTAGCATAAAAATCTAATTTGGCGAATTTTTTTTTATAATTAATACTGCTTTAATTTATATTGTTTGGGTACTACCTAGGTATCTATCAGTGGCGTAGCATATAGGGGGCTAGGACACCTTCTGCGTTTAGGGCATCTTTGACGCCCTCTACAGAGGTTTGGACGTCCTTTCCACCCTTTGGCCCACGCTACGCCACTGGTACTTATTAGTAAATTGAGCGGCACTATACGCTATATTAGTATGACGAACTTGGCGGAGCGCAGGGCACGAGGGGGTTCTAGAATAATTTTTATTATTTTGTATTTTGTTATTTTTATTTGAATTTTTTTTTTGAGATTTCCAAACAATTTATCATTCTATTTTCCGGAACTTCTAAAACCGATTGTCTTACTAGCTTTGTTTGCGTTGTAACGTATATTGAAAACTTAATACATCACATAGGTACAACCTGGGGAAATGTTTTTCCAAGAAGATGCTGTCCAGTAGTTTGTTGAAGAATTGAAAATTTATTTTAAACGAGATTGGATCCGAAATCGTATATTCATCTTAACGATTGGGATGTCTCTGATAGCTCAGTTGGTAAGAGCGGTGTGCGTAGAACACGAAGAGTAGGGTTCGAATCTCCCGTGGGCAGAATTTTTTCAATTTTTTATTAAATTTGTTTGTAACTTACGAGTTCAAAAATAGTTTTCATTACTTACTTAGTAGTGGTAATTTTGGAATCTGTTTTGAGATTTCCAGGAAATTTATATATTTTTTATGTAGAAGCTATAGACAAAATAATTTTTAAATTCGAGTAAAAATGTTACTTACCGTTTGAGTTTTGCAAAAATCCTCAATTTCTTCTGTACCGTTTTTTTTAAACATTGTATAAAATAATAACCTTAAGCATCGCAAAAAAGTAGAGTACGTAATCATGACGATTTTTTCTTGTTTTTATTTTGTAGCTTGCACAATTAAGTTTAGCACATTTAGCAATGCCAAAATAATAAAAATATACTCATTTTTGATACAATTAACACTAAAATATTCAAATTTGCAACTCATCTACAACTATGACATGCCCTCTCCATATTATTCAATCTTATTATTCTACTGTCATTGGAACACAAATTACGTCATCACTAATATAGCGTATTGATGGCGCTAGGCCGTATAGGTTAAGTTAATTTAATGTAGTTTTTTTAATTGATCTTATACTATTGTTGATAGTGCTGCACACATATTAGGTAATTTACTTAGTTAAATAAACATTTCTAACAATTTTCTATAGGTCATACATAAATCTTAGGCCTATTTGATTAGGAAAACTTATATATTTACATAAATCGTTTTTGTTTTAGTGTAACACTTGGCAGACCTGTAATAATTGGAATCGTATCAGACGTTATTAAAAATGAAAGTATTAAGGGATTGTGGAAAGGAACTATACCCGTAAGTACAATTTTTTTGCTCACACATATATTCATTCATCCCATTTTTTATTGTCTTAATTTAGATAAAGTTAAGTAGATATAATTCAAAAAATGGTGAACTAAAAAATGCGTTCATAGGAAAAAATGTAAATACAAATTTTTCTTTCTCTTTATATAGGGAGACTTCATATACAAAATAACTGTCTTTATCAGCTATTTTTATTATTAGTGATGTCAACAATGTGTATGTATGTTTATAATAATATGTACCCCCAGCAGTGATATCAGTTAACCTCTGACATGCATTTATAGATTACTGATTCAAAATTACGAATTGTTTTTATAATCTATTTCAAAAACACTTTGTTTTTAAGTATATGTGTACGAATGTTGTAATTATACCATATAGTTGCTATGTTAAATAAGAACGGAAATTTTTTGCGTCAATAATTATTGCGAATTATATTATTATTCATACCTCAAGAGTATTACGCTATTATATAGTTGTAAACAAATCTCTTACGTAAACAGTATTAGCAAATATATCTGAAGGAGTTTGGTATAAAGAGGTTGCAAATTTTATGCGACTTTCCATACTTTCAAATTGGATTTAAGAAGGCAGGCAAGGAAAGCTAAACTATAACTTTCATCTTTGGTTAACGTTGACTCGCTAGAGGGAAGAAAAGAAAAAAGAGGTTGTGGTTAATGAACTTTAAAATCGGCTATTTTATAGACGGTTCCACCACTCCTATGACGGTCAAAACAGAAATCTAGCACGTCTATAGCAACTGGTTCTTTTGTAAGACCTTTAACTTCTGCCAGAATCCTTATACACTTCCATTTGAAGCAACGATGCCAATTGCTTCTTGAATGGATGATGATATTGACGTAAAGAATGATCTGAAGCCTTTATACTACTAATTTGCTATATTTAATACAAATAACATATTTAATTGGCCAAACTTTCTCTGGGTACATGACCTTACAATCCTTACTCTATTAAATTATTTATAGCTTTAACGTAATCTTTCTTAAAACAATTTTTCTGAAATTAACGAGTGTATTTTTATTATTATTATTATAAGAGTCTCTAGTCATAATATATTATAATATAATTTAATATAAATGGGTGACCTCTTGACATATCCAAGAGACAATCTGTAAGTATTGAAACGAAATTTAAAAAAAAAATAGGATTGAATATGTCTCCATTGTTGAACATAGAAGCTATAGGGGGATACCATCAACAAAGTTAAATATTTCAGATAGGATAATTAACGACGATCAGCGCCTTTCGATAGCGCCCCCAAACCCCCCGTGGCTACGCCCCTGACAAATACAAATAAACCTACATAAATCTACATTCTCCAGCCCTGTGCAAATTCTAAAAATTAAAAACTCATTGAAATGGTATTCTAAGAATTCTTAATAAAAGAAATGGTACAAACTTATTCAAGGGATAATTTGGTTGGCTTAAAAATATACCTGGTTTACCCACTTAAGAGAATATTAATATAAGTAGTTCCTACATTATCTCTTTAAAAAATGAAAAGGTTTAGAGTTAAAGATTATCTAAAACCCAAACGGATTAATCAGTTTATACAGAATTTATTTTAAAGTTATTTTAGAAATAAATGGCAGATTTGTGTAAATTTAACTTTTTCAAAGAAAAGATTCTATATAGTTACGTCATAATTTATATAATGAATGTTTCAATCATGAGAATAATTATCATTATTATCGTTTTTTTCCGATTCTAAACATACAGGGTAGCGAAAAAGTATTTTAGGTTGATAAATGGGACTGTATTGCAATAGTAATATGGTACCTACTTTTTTTAGTATTCTTAAAAAAGGAAAAAAATAAGCTTTTCTCTGATATATAACTCGACCCAAGTTGCCATTTAAAAAAAATTCAAGATTACGGCGGTCCGCTAAACGCTGACATTAGGTATATAAACTGTATGTCCTGTAAAAAATGCAAAATACATTCCCATTCATCACCCCACAATTTCATAATTATACATTCATTTGTTTCAATGAAAATACCTTGTGCCAAGCTTTTTCGGTACCCTATATACTAAAAAAAACTGCTTGAATATTTGAACCAACATATTTATTATTAATTCTTTAGAAATATTCCTCTTAAAAGGCAATACATGTACTTTTTCTGTCAATCCACCTTTGTCTGCAAGGAACAGAAAAAATCACAAGGATTTAAATCAGGTGAATAACATAGCTTTCTAGCAACATTTCCACTTAAAGAACCATTTTCTCACCAATTACCTATTTATAAAAGGGAGAAACATAAAATATTTCATTTGAAGCGATCCTGCTTCGAAATATTCGTATTCCTTTGGACATTAATACTGTCTACCCCTTGTATTATTATCAGTATCTCAAACGTGTATCCATCTTTCGGAATCATACTTTAGAATTCTTATCATTATTTTGGCTACATAGCAAAAATGTTTATTTATTCATATTGCAAAAGAATTTGACCCCCCGGTCTAATCTCGTAACCTCCAGTCCGTTGGTGGTCCTAAGTCCTATTTAGACAGAATAAAGGAAAACTACCGGAAAAATAAAGGAATTTTCTTATGTTACAGACGTTGGTGAAAACGGTGCCCGGTATAGGATTATATTTTGGTCTATTGACTCATTTTAAATCATATTTCTTCAAAAATAGAGTGCTAGACCCAACGGAATCCGTACTGGTTGGGGCAGTAGCACGTTCCATGGCTGGTGCAGTTTTAATGCCTCTGACAGTCGTTAAAACAAGGTAATAATGATTGTGAATACTTCAGAGTACACACAACCAAACTTATATGGAATCATTCCAATATTTTACAGAAATATTTTTTTTATTTTAGAGTTGAAAGTGGAGTTTATAATTATAGCGGAGTTACAGTAGCATTGGGAGATATATTCAGGACTGAGGGTATCAAGGGTTTGACAAGAGGATTGGTACCTACCATATTTAGAGATGCTCCTTATGCTGGATTGTACTTCATGTTCTACACGCAATCCAAGTTGATGGTTCCTAAAGGTAAATATCTTTCATTTTGATTTCATAATTAAAACGAAAACGTAAAAATTCCCGGATATTTAGAAATGGTACATTTGAACTACTTTCGTACGCATTTTTAGAAAGCATTTATATGTTCATAAAATTACATTATGAACGTTTCCGATTCTTGAAAAGTGATACTTTTGAACTACTATTGAGACTGGTTAGAAGAACAATTAAATGTACAATTATTTTAGCAACGTCCCTATTGAATATATGAAATGTTTTTCGTTGAATTTAAAAAGATTTCGTAAAACTTTTTAGAGAACGTTTGCCGTGAATATGAAATGTTTTTTATTGAATTTGAAAATTTTACTTTTGAACTACTTTTTGGAAATTAACTTATCGACTGCTAATTGCTTTTTATAGCTGCTAAACCTATCATTAACCATCATTGAAAAGAGGTAATTTTCTCGAAAAATGTATTCAAATATTGTTTACAACTTATTGTAATGAAATAAATCTCAGAATTTTTTATTTTTATTTAAAACTTGTATTGTTGATTTCTGTAGTTGTGAACTTTATGAGATTCGATAACGGAATGAATGTTAAGATTTTCTTTAATTATATTCCGTATTATTCTATTTAAATATTTTATTTGCACTCAAACAAAATTTATATTTTTTGTTATTAAAAGTTATCTTTTATTGCAGATATCCATTCAAATTACCCATTGGCAGTTTATTTCGGTTGCGCTATAGCCTCGAGCACGCTAGCGTCTCTGGCTACCCAACCGCCTGACGTTTTCAAGACGCAGTTGCAATTGTATCCGAATAAATTCAACGGATTGTGGTCTGTGATTATTGACGTGTACGTAAGACACGGTATTTTAGGTTACTTTCAAGGTATTCTTCCTAGATTGGTGAGACGGACGCTGGTCGCCGGCATATCTTGGACTTTGTATGAGAAAATTATGCAATCGTCTAAGCACAAATATTAATAATGTTTTATAGTATTGTTTTTACTGATAGGTTTGTAAATAAATATTTATTTATTCTTATTATATTCGTTTTGATTAACTTTAACCATTTACCAAGAATTGAGATTAAAACAAAATTCATTTTACTAAAAATATTTTATTCCAAAATGCTTCCATCTTTTATTAATTCGACTTTGTCTATTAACCCTAATGAAACGCAGGCCACAAGTGCTGCTCCTTGTTCGGCAAACTTTTTGTTTTTCTCCCTAAAATAGAATATTTAAAAATAAACAACTCTGCACAAGCTAATAGATTAGAAGAATATTATTTATGATAAACAATGGATAAAGGATATAGCAAGACGGTTAGGGCATGTATACAGGATACTGCAGAACAGGATGGTAAGAAAATCCAGGATGGGTGGGGAGGGACTGAAGAAATAGTGGCTAGATGCAGACTTAAGGAAAGTAGGTGTTTAAGCCTTTAGGCTTATAGAGTTGATACATATAATGGAGACTAGTCATATACATAGGTGCTTGTACCCAACAGTTCAAACTATGTGGAGACAAAGGACTTACCAATATGAGGAACTATATTTCTTGTCTTCCAAAGTAGCTACCGCCCTAAATAGTTTATCTTCATTAAAAACCTTGTACTTGGGCGTTTTGAATTTGTTTTTTCCGCAGTAAGCCATCAATCGCGACTTAGGCAATAGCGGATCTTCCGCGTAATTCACTCTGATAAAAGCGCAATTCAAACATACGTCAATATTTTCGTCGTCCAAATCGGTCTTTTGTTTTTTACGTTTCGGGTCCAAGAATTCGGGCATTATTTCTCTGCGACCTATGTTGCCTCTCGATTGGTATTCTAATTGTTTCTGTCGACAGTAATCACTTAATCCCCAAATATTGCTAAAAACGCCCGAAACGTTAGAGGTTTTATTTTTAAAAATCGTACAAATTTACAAATGGTACATTTGAACTAATTTCTCAAAACTTGTTAGAAATAATTTAAGAGTTCAAAAATTACTTTAAGAACATTTCCCATGATTTTTAATCGTTTTTAATTAGATACATTTGAACTACTCTCATAAACTACATTTAGAAAAAACATTTTAAGTGGACTTAATTTTGGGCGAATTTACTAATAATGTATTTGAGATACTTTATTTACATTTCGTTTGAAATCATTTATACATTCGAAAAATTACTTTAAGAACGTTAGAGATTTTATTTTTAAAAATCGTACAAATTTACAAATGGTACATTTGAACTAATTTCTCAAAACTTGTTAGAAATAATTTAAGAATTCAAAAATTACTTTAAGAACATTTCCCATGATTTTTAATCGTTTTTAATTAGATACATTTGAACTACTCTCATACAGTGTTGCCAGTCTAGTACAATTGTACTAGATCTAGTACATTCTCTGAGAATATGGTACTCTAGTACACTCGAAGCAAAATCTAGTACTTTTTCTTTTTTCAGCGAATGTTTCCATTTGACGTGTAAAATATATTGTTGGGGGTCTTCCTTGTTTGTTGTGTTAATGAGCACATTTCATAATTCGAAAAATCTGGTATATTTTATGGAATATGGTCCATTTTTATGGAATCTGGTACATTTTTTAGACAAATCTGGTACATTACAAAAATATATTCTGGCAACACTGCTCTCATAAACTACATTTAGAAAAAACATTTTAAGTGGACCTAATTTTGGGCGAATTTTCTAATAATGTATTTGAGATACTTTATTTATATTTCGTTTGAAATCATTTATACATTCGAAAAATTACTTTAAGAACGTTAGAGATTTTATTTTTAAAAATCGTACAAATTTACAAATGGTACATTTGAACTAATTTCTCAAAACTTGTTAGAAATAATTTAAGAATTCAAAAATTACTTTAAGAACATTTCCCATGATTTTTAATCGTTTTTAAGTAGATACATTTGAACTACTCTCATAAACTACATTTAGAAAAAACATTTTAAGTGGACTTAATTTTGGGCGAATTTACTAATAACGTATTTGAGATACTTTATTTACATTTCGTTTGAAATCATTTATACATTCGAAAAATTACTTTGAGAACGTTTCTTATGAATTTTTTTTTTTTTTTTTTCACTGAATTTACATAACTAATTTCCAAAAAATCAAAATATCTTCATTATTTCATAATAAGTGTTAGGTGACGTAAAAAATTCGAAAATAACTTACCAAATTTGTTCTAAAGTTTGACATTCCAAAAACCTTTTACCACGTGGCGTCTCTTGCAATTCCTTCAACATATTTTGAACGCAATATTTGGTATTACTTGGCGAATTATCGTACTCTATACATTTCTTCAAATATTCAATAATGACATTGTCCATTGATTTCATGCCCTCTTCTCTAAATACGGAACAGTTGTATTGCGCCGTTCTCGCTACCATTACACTGCTACATCCGCATTGCTCTCTGAACTTCACCATATCTCGGTAGTTTTCAATTTCTCTAGATCCGCCGCTGAAGATAAAACATCGTTATGCAATTTTTAAAATCAAACTACATTGTCTAGCAGCGACAAGAGACGTCACTGTTTACCGGGGACAATTATTATTAAAAAGAATGTTTATCTGTTTAACAGTAGGTTGTCCATCTTCCAGCCAATATTGGTGAAATGATTTGTGAAGTTTTTATGAGGGGAATGTGTACCATAAGTATTGTTAGTTGAAGGTCTCCATATTATTTTGTATTAGACTTGGATTAAGGTAAAATGATAGAATATTTCATTACATTAATATATTTTCTTAATACATACAATGATTAAATTATTTTTATGATTAATTACATACTTTTATTGTTACTAATAACTTACTTAGCAATCACAGGAATCTTCAGGGTTTCAGAAATTTTCCTAATAGTTTCATTTCTATTGAGATGTTGGGGCCTTTCTGCCTTAGTCCGTCCATGCACGGCGATTGCCTTTATACCTGTCGTTTCCAATTCTCTAACTAAATTTAAAGTATCGTCAATATTTTCAAACACTCTAATTTTACAAGTTACCGGAATGTTTATATTTTTGACTAAAGTTAAAAGAATCTTTTTGGCCTTCTCTGGTTGAGACATCAAAGCTGCTCCCATACCTCCTTTCAGAGAGAATTCTTTGGGACAACCCATGTTGATGTCAATTCCAGATACATCATTTTCACTAAAATGGAATGGCCGGGAAAAGTTAAAACAAAAATTGTACTTTAGTTTTGTGAGAAAATGGTCAGAAACTGCTTTTCACAGAGCAAGTTTGTTGTAAGAAATGCTGTAATTTGATGTTTGTTCAGACTACTCTGATAGAGGTGACTGAAAAACAGAGAAAACTTACTTTAAAAATGAGTGGAAAATAGTAGCCAAGAAAAAATTGAACTTAGGAAATGAACATGAAAATAAGAAAGGTAATATATTTGAGGTTTCACCAACAGATGTCAAAATATAGTTATTTAATTTTGTAATATATCCCTAAAACTTGCACTATATAAAATAAGGCAGAGTCAAATATTATTACTTACAAAATAATCATCTTAATACAAGTAGTTGCAATAAATATTGTGGGCAAAAGACACTATTTATAATACTTGCATAGGTCCTCACTTTGATTATTACTCAACAATATAATACTTGTTTAATTAAAATTAAATGAACAGACTTCAAAAATTGCAATACAATACTATGCAGATAATACTGGAATGTTCTTGGCTTATACCAATAATGTAATTTTTAAAATCTTTATTGTTATTCATAATGTAAATGTTTCCTAATTTTTTTAACTTAAGACATTTTTATTTATACACTTTGTACCTAATTAATTAGTTAGTGACTAAATAAATGATTTATATATAATATTGTGCAATTGTCATCTTGTAGATATAACAGTTAAATTGCTTAGTATAAAACTTGCAACAAACTGCATTCCGTTTCGTGAAAAGCAGCTTTAAAGTGATCATTACTCACATTAACTTTGCTACTTTTAAAGCCCTCTCTGGATCACTTGTGCCTAATTGGACAACTACTTTTCCTTTTTCTCGTGGACATGTACGAAAAACGACAGTTCCATCTGTTAAATCTAAATAATCAACAGTTCCTAAAACATCTAAAAATTTTGTTACTTTTAGCATGTTGCTGACATTAAAGAAATAATTTATTTACCATTTTCGCGTCTCACAGATTTCAAAAATTTCCAATCGATTAGTTCTTCGGAATATACAATATCTGCACCATACTCCAAAGCAAGTAAACGCATTGGTAAAGTACCAACTCTGACCATAGGTGCCAAAATAAATTTATTTTCGAAACTTAGTGACATTTCGGAATATTTTTTCATAATGGCATTCAAATTACGTAATATGGATTACTGAATTTGTAGAATCAATAAATACTTACCCTCGTAAATCTCATTCTGTTTTGAATTTTAATTAGAAAATTAAAAGGACCGTGTTGTTTTGATACTTTGACAGTTTATTTAGAGGTTATATTATATTCTTCTAAGATAAGTGATCAGTCCGAAGTTAGGCACATCGTGTGCTTTGATAGGGTCAATGATATTATAGTTATATGGATTGCTCAAAATGAGCCGCATTACGGATTTTTACGTTTTGGGGTCCCCTGAATCCGTTTTGACAGAAGAAATTTTTTTGAATAAGTTGCTTGTAATATTATTATTATCTATAAGTTTTGTCCTATACATAATTTCTTTAAAATGGACTTACTTATTCGAGATATTTGAGAAAAAGTGCAAATTACGAATTTGAAGATAACTCAATAATGGATAAAGGGGTCTATTCTGTAACAATTAATTTATATTTAACGGCCTTTAAAAATATTTTCTTCTTTACTTCTGTCATTATTTAAACGGATCTTTAAAATACATTAGAGGACTATCTTAAAGAAATCTGTTTAAATAATGACAGAAGTAAATTAACGAATACAAACATATTTTTAAAGGTCGCCAATATTTTTAAAGGCCGTTAAATATAAAGGAAATTCTGTAACAATTCCTTTATATTTAACGGCCTTTAAAAATATTGGCGGCCTATAAAAATATGTTCGTATTCGTTAATTTACTTTTGTCATTATTTAAACAGATTTCTTTAAGATAGTCCTCTAATGTATTTTAAAGATCCGTTTTAATGACAGAAGTAAAGAAGAAAATATTTTTAAAGGCCGTTAAATATAAAGGAATTGTTACAGAATAGACCCCAAATAGAACACCAACTTTTAAATTTAAGCTTTAATCCATCCTGCGGTGAACTGATTAAATTTTGGGGATCGTCGGAACATTTGGGGAGGTACTTTTTAGCGAGTCGTTTTTCTACTTTATGGAATATTTACGTTTGCAGAAGAAAAATCTTCAAAGTCTCTTGTACTTTTATTCACTAAAATTTTTAGTTCATACATAATTTTTCTAAAATAGTATTCAACAATTTTAAAAAGTTCAAAATTAATTTTTAAAAAATTATTTAAATAAAAGTTGTTTGCGATAGTCTCTATCATTTTTGTTCCATGCATCTCTAAAATTGACCCCAATAAAAAAATTTGAGAAACTAAAATTTTAATTTTTCAGTATTTTCGTTGGCAATGAATATATACCTATATAAAAAAATGTTTCAAGTCAGCTTTTTTACGTTTCATAAATGAGAAAATGTTATGTATAAATAAAACAATATTTGTAAATCACGCATTTATTACAAACATTTTCACCCTATTAACAAATTGAAAATAAATTAAAAAAATGTACAAACATCTCTAAGTCTCTAAATTTTTGGTTTAGATATTCATAATTCTGTGTGTGCAGAATGTGTATGTCTAGCAGCTAAATCAGGAGCATGTAAAAATACACCTTCAGATGCTTGCCAGTGTACAGAACCTGTGGAAGATCGTATTCCAATAACTTCCATTTGTCCATTGATGGGTCTACCAAATGTTCTACCTGATATTGATAGGTACATATCAGTGTCTGTATGTTTGAACATCACACTGTCATCTCTAAGCCAGCTATCACCTTAAAAATGATAAAATTGAATAAATGTAATTACTTCAGTAAGCATATTTAATTATTTAGTATTTGAACTATACCTGAGCATATCACTGCCCAATTATCTCCAGAATCTCCTTCTCCATTATCACCATAACAGCTAATTTCTTGATTACCACTCAAAGGGCTTTGAAAATGATGGGAATGTAAATTTTTCTTGGTTTCTACGTGTTCTAATCTAATAGATGATCCGCATTTGATCGGTTGCCCCCTTTCAATGGTCTTACCACTGCCTGGTTTTATTAACCAGTGGCTGTTGATGTCTTCTTGTAGTTCAGTGGCAGTAACTGATTGCTGGCCACTACCAGTACCATATTTAACATCGTGAGAATGCAACCTAACTCTATAATCTGTGTTTAATAATTTTAAGACTGACCCGCAGGTTACATACTTTTGTGTAGAAGCTAAAAACGTGTAATTTTTAAAAATGAGATAAGTTTTTAATGAAATTCTTACCGTTTATGTATTGGAAACTATATGTTAAATATATTAGGAATGTGACAAGTATATCAATTTTAAAAGTGAACATATTTGTATAATATAAATTACACGTATTTTTAATATATTATATCAAATCCATCGATACTCAACATACCACATCAACAACCTCCCTCTTTAATTGTCAAAGTCAAATTTCAAAAATATTCGTGTCAGTTTGTCATTAGCTGAGCGCGTCCTTGAACGAAAATCAAAGTTCGGGTATAAGTGCTCCAGGAGTTCCAGTATTGCACTAAAATGGACCCGCGATTATCAATGATATATGCATACATATAGATTGCTCATCCTTAATCCTTATGTAAATCTGCAGTGTGATTCTCTTTCGATACATCTTGTATGGAGACACCTATTTTCGTTCGACAGACTGCGATTCTTATGTAATGTCTCTATTCGATACGTAACGTGTCGAGTTCACACAAAAGAATCCCTGTGCAGACGACAATAGTGAGTTGCATTGAGCGAAGTGAAGTTTCCTCTTTATCTTATACATGAAATGTTTATGTTTTGTCTTAATTTTGAGTGTTTAGTTGTTCAGAAACGGTTTAGAAGTTAAAATATTACTGCATTAAGGACCGATTCCACCGTTGTGTTAAACGAAGTTTAAAATGACATTTTTACATTAACAAAGTCATTTTAATATCCGTTTAACACAACGGTGGAATCGACCCTTAAATATCCACATCCGATGCATTTTTTATCTCTGGGGTAGTATTCTCGAATCACGAATACCGACATTCGCATACGTGTTTTACAATGTGTCTCACTTTGTTGAACGAAGACCAAGTGAGACAAATCATAAATCTCGCATGCGAATCTATATTCGTGACTCGAGAATACTACCCCTGGGGTAGTATTCTCGAATCACGAATACCGACATTCGCATACGTGTTTTACAATGTGTCTCACTTTGTTGAACGAAAACCAAGTGAAACAAAACGTAAATCTCGCATGCGAATCTATATTCGTGACTCGAGAATACTACACCTGGGGTAGTATTCTCGAATCACGAGTACCGACATTCGCATACGTGTTTTACAATGTGTCTCACTTTGTTGAACGAAAACCAAGTGAGACAAATCATAAATCTCGCATGCGAATCTATATTCGTGACTCGAGAATACTACCCCTGGAGTTTATTCACATCGGACTCATCTACTGGGTGGGTTCAGTTCTTCGAGCATATATTACTATATGCTCGAAGGTTCAGTTACAAGTTTATCATTTGTGACCAATGAAGAATGCTTTCATAAGTCATTGCGACAAAGTTTGGAGGTTACGAGACAGGGTGTTTTTTTCAGTGCCGCGCATATATTGCAATTGCTTTTATGACACTCTTCACATATTCTTGGCATTAACTTACTGTCTATTATTTTGATATTCGGCTATAGATCATTTTTACCACGTGATCAATACGTCTAGACCGTTTGTTTACATTTAAATATGATCCTCTATCACGTGATAAAACATTTCGGATGCATCCGATGTGGATATTCAAACGCAACACACATCTCGGATTTGAGCCGTCCGCGCTCTACATATTGGGCTCATCACAACACATACGCTTCGTTCGTAAATTTGAAGTCGAATCAGATTCAAACTATCGTTGGTACACACAAATTTTCGTCCATCTCATCTCTCTAAATTCTTCTTAAACAATGTCAAAAGAATGAGTTTTTAAAACACATTTGGGCCAGAACGGTTCTGTTCAGTTGTCTTATTTATAGAATAATATATCATTGGTGATTATAGATATTTAACAGGGCTACCACCACAAAAGTAAAAGAAAGTAATAAAATAAAAAGCACTGCTCCTTTACGATTTACGTAATCTCTCAAAAAAGTAAGGTTAAAAATATTTAAATATTTAAACAAAATAATTATTTTCTTGCTGGTGTCTAAAATTACATATTAGTTCCATTTAGAAAATGTCAGCTGCGCCAAGCAAAGGTTTGATAGGCCTATTCAAGAGGGGTTGGCATGAAATTCCAGAAGTAGTAGGCAGTACATTTTTCTTATTCGCTGGATTGGGCTTTGTTGGAGCTTCTTTGTACTTATACTCCCAAAAAGATGGAGATAACAGAAGATATAAAGACCAATATACAGTTTATAGACATGATGATCCAAGAGTGTGCAAAATAAAACAATTTTAAAATAAAAATAATGTAAAAGATAGTTTAGAATTTGTTCATATTTATTTTTTGTTTGAAATAAAATCATTTTATTATACCATAACAGTGGTTCATTATTATTGAAAATTAAACCCCCGTTTTATGGTGGATGGGGTTTTCCCTTATCTGTAAGTCACCCTGGAGCGCCACGGCAAATAATAGCCATCCTTACCTAGCTACTTTTCATATATAAAAAATTCGATTACATGACATATTGATAGCCTGTCAAAAAGGTATCAATATGAATTAAGGATTGAAAATAAAATAAAGCAATAATTTGATAACTATATTCATTTAACTTTTTCTTATAAATAAATACAATGTTTAATAAAGTATTTTTATATTCAAATATACAATTAATAATTTTTTTACATGTTTTTCAAAATATAAATATAATTACATACAAATAAATGATTAAGTAATATGATTAGCTTTTTTTAAAGAACGCTTAATATATATATTAATTTCCCATATAAGTCGAATCAATTTACCAAGAAAATATTTAGAATGTATAAACAAAAGTGAATAAAGTAAGGGAGAATCCCAAATTCATATATACTGTGCTTACTTTTGGCCTAACTAAATAGTATTACTGATGATTTGGTTCAATTAATGAATCTCAAAATTGACGGGACTATTAATAAAAAAAATATCCACCATAATTATTATTCTAAATGTCTTTTTAATTTGTTCAATAGATGATTTTTCACTACTAATTTAAAAAACTTATATTTTAAATGGAATGATTCAAGTGAATTATGTTCATCAACTAAAAGCTAACCATGTTGATAGTACAAGTAAGAAAACAAATCGATTAAAATATTATTATCACTTATATTCAATCACTTATCTTAAAAATAAAAAAAAAACACATCAACAGAAAGAACTTTTTGACTTAACACCAAGAAAAAAACGGACTTTTATCTTGGAAGCGTTGTGTAAAATTGAAAAACCTAGTTGTATGCTGACCTTGTGACCTAAAAACAAAAATTATTATTCATATTAAACATAGGGGTGGGCAAAACAATTATTTATCGATTAACTAGTCATCATATGAAGGTAGTTCACCCTGTATATTAAATTAATATTTTAGAAAACAGTAAAATAAAATCCAGTTTTGGGAATTTTTAATAGTATTGCTTATTTAGCTAACGAATAAATGCATTACTTTGTGGACAAACTGTAAAAACTTCAAAATCAAACATTGTCATGAGTACTCTGGATAAAAAATTGAAATTATTTTTAATGTGAAATGTTAGGCTTACTTTTCAACAACGACGGCTGGCATCTGGACCAACTGCACTGGAGATTTGCTGTCTTTGAGAGCTTGAGTTAAATTTAATATTTGGCCCCTCATAACAGACATCTGACGTTCATATAAATTTCTATCAAAACCCTTATCTTGTTTAAAAAGTAAATATAAATCATCACAGAGATCCTACAAAAAAAAAAAATAGAAATTATTTAAGTACAAAGACATATAGGCAGCAATCAAAGTACCTGCACAAAATTCATATCTGACAGCAATGGTAACACTAGATCCTTGGTAATCTTGCTGAAGGGTACCTTGGCTTGGGGCAACCATGCCCAATGGTAAGGGTACGCCCGCCAGCTGTCTGGGTGTTTATATGGAAATGCCAAACCATTATCTATAGCTGCTATACTAATTTCAGGCAATTGGACCAAATTCCAATCCGTGGTATCAGCCAGTTCGACTTGAGCACTTACTGTAGTTTCTAAATAGAAAAAATATTTACATTATTTTGTTTTTGTTTTATTGAATAACAAACAAGAAATATCCATTACAATAAAAAATATAAAAATCAAAAGTAATGCAATGGACAGCATTATGACTGAATTTTCCATAAAATTACATTTTCATTTATGTTTACATATGAGAGTTAAGGATGTGCCCCTCTTGAAATGAAAATCGACCTGTTTTTACCCTTATTCAGACACCATGTGAGCAGGCTACCTACAAGCATGCTCAAACCACCATAAATTTTTTATTAAACATTATTTAAGTAAGAAATTTGGTCAGGTAATATGGCTTTTCAGTTGTAGAAACTAAAATACAATTAAGTCAATTTACTTATTATAATTACCTACCTGAAATATTTTAATATTTATTAGAAGAAACATAGGTTTAAAAAATTGTACAGCATCATTATTGTACCATGTTTTAATGACATTTTAAAATAAGACATTCCAGGCTTCCCTTATAAAAATTTTACCATCACTTAATATTATAAATACCAAATAGTTTCTATAAAAACATTGCCCTAAAATGTGTATTGTGGTCCATAGCATTGGACTATAGACAGCAGCAGCCCAACATAATAGAACCTGCACTTGAAATATGGATAGAATAATACAAGCTAAAAAAGTGTTTTCTGAGGCTAAATGAATATTTGAATTATTAGGCAGTATATCTACCTAATCACCAATTAATTTAATGGTTTTTGTTATGAAAATTGGGCAAATTCCGTCACAAATTAATTTATTATTAATTAATTTAAAATAATAAAAAATATGTTACCATTGGCAATAGTGGGTTGATCATAATTAATCAACCAATTATCGTTGCCTCTGTCCGTGTTTCTTATGATATAGTCTAACACGACGAGTTTTTCAAATTTCAACTGAAATTTCTGAGCCAAAGCTGCTGGCAGAGGTTCAACCTCAAACCGCCTCAGCCAATAATCGGCGTCCTTATAACCGTCTACAAATAACTGGAATGAACCCACCTACAAGTGAAAAGTGTAAAACATTAATAAAAAAAAAAAAAAAAAAAAAAAAAAAAAAAAAAAAAAAAAAAAAAAATACCAACCTTTGGTGGTAAGCCTATCCTATTGAACCTCAATCCAACATTAGGAAATTGTTCCATAATTGCCCTTTTCACCCTTGCTTTTTGCCTATCTATCCTTAAATAATTAAAAGTTTCTGATACTAACTTAACTACCTGAAATACATAAAATGAAAATGTCATAAATTTCACATTTTTTTTTTAATCTTATACTTACTCTAGTTTTGGGTACTATATTTAAACTGAGCTTATGGTCAACTAGTGAGGCGGCCGCTTCTGATAAATACCCTTGATTTGGTATGAGACAAGATCTACCGAAACAACAAGGACAGCACAATTTGTGCATCCATTTCGTCCATTTTGGATTCAGCCTGCCATAAGGCTCTTCATCTTTCGGTTTGAATACTCCAATAGTTTTCTAAAATTTAACAAAAATTACTATTCAAGTTAGAATACTATAAAAGGATGTATGAATGAAAAATATTCAAAATCAATATTTACTAAAATAAAAAATCATTAAAATAATAAATGAACACATTGGTATTCACAAAAAAATACCTATAATAAAATGAAATCAATGTAAGAACCTCACCAAAGACATCAACTAAACATAAAAAAGAATAGTGATGTCTCCCCTAGAGGCCCTCCAGTATTTTTTGATCTTTGCTTGGGAACCCACTACAAAAAACAACTTAATATTTGCAGTAAATGGGCCATAGCAGTATTTAAAAAATTTATTGAGGAATTAACTTACCCCTGATTGATTTTTAACAAAATATGATCCACTGGAACCTTGTGATATTCGTTCAGGAAAAATTCCATGATCAATAGCTGTCTCAGCTTGCCAAACCAAATCACTGAAGGCTGGATCATCTGCAAGTAAAATATAGACATTTATTGGATGAATATACTTACTCAGAAAAATAAATTTCTGTGTGATATTGTTTTGTATTTGGCATTTTAATTGTATAATGTAAACTCTTTTTATTCTTTTTTATATGTATATTAGGATTCTTGAATAAATATCTATAAATCTGTTTTGTAGTTGTTAAAGTTAAACTACCTAACTTTTTTACAAGGAAAACAAGTAATTGTTCTCTTATCAGCTAATGGTACTTTAAAAACTAGTATAATGTACTAGGAATCAAAAATGTTTATAATTTTATATCAAAGATAACAGTGACAATACTTAAGATAAAAATGTATTAATAAAAATATCTATAAAGCTTTTATAGTAATTCTAACCTGGGAACTGATTGTAAGAGACATCCAGCCCTCCCAACAAAGGCTGCGATTCTCTATTAAATCCTGGGGAATCCAATGTAGAGTCGAAAACCACTTCGGGTACAAGTGGTACGTCTTCGCCGTCACTACAAACTACAGACAAGGCCCCGTGTGTTTCGCCGTCTGAACTACTTGTATTTATCAAGATAGGAACAGTCTCACCACTCATCACCCAGAAAGAAAAGAATTTCGAAGAGATTTCAGCATTTAAAGTGCGATTTTTGTGATTTAACCTAATGTAGTATTTAATGACTTGTGTTAGTTCGTTTCGTATAATGTAATTGACCAGAATTTCGAAACACTCAATTTTTAATTTAATTATCTTTTTACACTAGTTAAAAAAAAAATAAATTGGGGATAAAGAGGGTGACATCATTTGATTAATGACAATGACAGATGACATTAGATGAAGTCGTTTTTTAAATGGCATTGTCATTTTTAGTTACTTTTTACATTCAACATATATATGACGTTATTAAATATATTTGACAAAATCCGAGCCCGAGGAGTTCTAATACTATTTTTTATACCGTTACAACAGTTACAGTTCAGTGGATTAGATAAAAATAAAGTAAGGCCAGTTTTTATGTCTGTTTTGAAACCAGACATTAGTTAATATTGGCATCACTGATTGTCCATGTCAACTTCAACATAAAAGAAAATATTGTTGATATTAACCTCATTTTTTGAATATTAATTTTTATAAAACAAGATATAGATTAAAAAGTTTCAAATATGGATGTAGGAGAGCTTTTAGATTACAAAGTATGTATCTTTTATTCTACTAATGATGTTCGAATAACTTAAATCGCTTTTTGTAGCCTCCCCAAGCCTTAAAGAGGCCAGCAGACGTTGACGAAGAAGTAGATAAGGTTGAGAAAACAAGAAAAATGAGGAGAATAGCACGAGCTAAGGCTAGTAAAATGGCTAGACCTGCATCTGCTACTCCTATGCAACCTCTAGATCACATCAGCGAAGAAGAAAGAGCAGAAATTTTAAAATTTGTGGAAACAGAACAGACACAAGTAACATTTTTAAGTCTTTACATATTACGATTTTATATTCCTTGCTCTTTTATTAGGGTGAAATAATAGATGAAACAGCTTTAAAGAAAATAATATTGAATTTTGAAAAAAGAAGTTTGAAGAACAGAGAAATGAGAATAAAATTTCCCGATTCTCCTGAAAAATTCTTAGAAAGTGAAGTAGAACTACACGAAATTTTACAAGAAATGAGAGTTTTAGCAACAGCCCCTGATCATTATCCATTATTGGTGAAACTACAAGTTATTCCCAGTCTTCTGGAGCTACTTTCCCATGACAATACAGATATAGCTGTAAGTTGACCACTTTTTCAAACATATTTGTATATTAAGGTTGGGTTTATATAAAAATTGGTGTGAACAAAATGCATGTAAAAACATAGACCCTTGTCCTACCAATTTATTTTATAAAATGATTTTGTATGTTTTCAAATTAGTTGACAGATAGTTAAAAGTAAAATTTTCCAAAAATCAACTGAAAAAGTAGTCAAATGAATTATTCAAATTACAATAAATATAAGACACTGATTATGGCATCCTAATTTAAATTATTATTGATGTCTGTAGAATATCACTGACTTTGTAACATATAGAAATATCCATTGCATAAGATTTTACATATTTCTGTTAATACCTTAAAAATAATTAACTTAATAATACCGTCTCCAGAATTTATTCTTGCCAGTTGGACAGTACAATTAGCCAGATAAATATTGTTATTTAATTGGAACATTCTATTTGATTTAATTTAGTGAAATGGACATGCTAGCAAAATCTATAAACATATTATTAAACTTTTAATACTTTTTAAAACTTATCATTCTGGCCAAGCCTTAAATAGGGTAAATATTTGTAGGTAGGCACAGTCGAATTATTACAAGAACTCTCAGATGTAGACATACTAAATGAATCTGAAGAAGGTACTGAAGCTCTAATAGAATCACTGCTGGAACACCAAGTGATTGCTTTATTAGTACAAAACTTGGAACGCTTGGATGAATCTGTTAAAGAAGAAGCTGATGGTGTCCACAACACTCTGTCTATCATAGAAAACCTCACTGAATTGAGTTCTGAAATCATAAATGAGGCAAGCAAACAAGGTTTACTGGCTTGGTTACTGAAAAGACTGAAGTTGAAAGCACCTTTTGATTCTAATAAATTGTATGCTAGTGAGATTTTATCCATACTGTTGCAGGATAATGAGAAAAACAGGTATTATATAGTTTGTAATAGCCAATTGAAATAAATTCAGTAGCTTAATTACTGTACATATTTATAAAAAATCTCCCTGAAGCATGTCAATTTTAGATTATAATATGCATCCTGCAATATTAAAATCTACCTTCAACTCCCTTCTAGAGTTGCAATCCTCAAATTTTTAAATAGGAAGTAGGGGCTTGTGTGATACCTCAATTGAAAGGTATCTTCATTCTCTATTCAAAAATGCTGTGATTTTCAAATTTATTGTAAGAATTAACTGTAAATTAATTATTTTGGGATTTTTTATAAATGAACACAGTAGTATTAATACCTGTACATATACATTTTTGATTGAATGATATTTTAGGTTAGCATTAGGAGAAATTGATGGCATTGATACATTATTACAGCAATTGGCTTTTTACAAAAGGCATGACCCCAATAGTTCTGAAGAACATGAACTGATGGAAAATCTTTTTAACTGCCTATGTAGTTCTTTAATGGTGGTGCCTAACAGGGATAGATTCTTAAAAGGAGAAGGTTTGTATTAATACAGATTCTGAAAAAAAAAAAATTGTCTTAAAAACAATGCAATCCTTACCAATGAAGAAGGGGGTGGGTATTGGTGCTAAGAGTGGGCAAAATTCAAATTTTTACTTTCAGATTCCTTATCAGCCATCTTGGAAAAGCCCTGTATCCAAAATTTTATGAAAATGTGACAATTTTTTAAATCTTTCTCTGCTGTATTGTTTTTCAGATATTTTAATTCATATTCTTAATCAGCAATCCCAAAAAAATCCTCAAAAATCCAAATGGTTCAGAACTTTTTGTTAAGAATAATTTCTTTTGTAAAATGTAAGATCAACTCTTTTCCCATTAGTATAAAATATTTTGGGTCACATTGTATAAATAAAAAGAAAATTATTAAATAGTTTTTATTAATACATCTATTTGAAATATTGTAAAACTTGTCTGCACAAAACTTGTTTCATTTAATAATTTAAAACAATATTTCTTTGTAATAATCAACTCTTAACTTGTTCTTGAATTAGTTTCTTAGTCATTTTTATTTCAAACATTTTATTCAACTTTTAAATTTTTTTAACAATAACATATATACATATAATACAAAAACATACTGTACACAGTTACAGTATGCGACCTTAAAATTACATAAATAAGGCCTAAGGCGATCTCTCCACCTGGTATATTATGCATCCATATTTCTTCTATTCTAACTGCTAAAAATAGCCGCCCTCACTCCTTACCCATGGGGTATTATTAAGGGATTAGGTAGGATTATAGTCGGGAATTGTATGTATTTATAGGTTTGTCGTGTCTTAATTTCGTTATTGTCACCTGAAACAGCTAGAAAAAACAGGGTTGTCGTTAGTGGCGTGTGATCATGTGGTAGTCTGTTGTTTTTTGTCATAATTCACTGAGGGGGTGGGCCATAAACCACCCGGGAGTGCCTCGGCCGAGTGCGATAAATCACTCCTGGCCGCGACTCCGTCTATAGCTCAGTCCTCCGTCGGACTAGAATTCGTAAATATCCAGTCCGTGTGAATTATTGTTTAGTATTGTTGGGAATTTGTCATGAGTCTAGTTTCTTAGTCAATTTGTTGGTGTTCATCTGCACAACTTTAAATGTTCTTTGACATGAAAATGAAACCTATTTTCTTCGATACTTTAACCCAATTTTGTGTACCTACATGTTTTTAATGCAAAAAATAAAACTTTACTTTTTTTATTTTGAAATACAGGTCTTCAACTCATGAATCTAATGTTAAGAGAAAAGAAAACATCAAGAAATGGTTCATTAAAAGTCCTCGACTACGCTATGTCCGGCCCGAACGGAAAGGACAATTGCAACAAATTCGTCGACATCCTAGGTCTACGTACGATCTTCCCGTTGTTCATGAAAACGCCGAAAAAAAACCGCAGGCGAGTGTTATCCACGGAAGAACACGAGGAACACGTTTGTTCGATAATTGCTTCGATGTTGAGGAACTGTCGCGGATCGCAGAGGCAAAGATTGATCAGTAAATTTACCGAGAACGATAACGAGAAGGTCGACAGACTGTTAGAATTGCATTTCAAGTATTTGGAAAAAGTGGAAGCTATAGAAGAAAGCGTTCAAGATGGACAAGAAGATGAAGAGGATACTGCTTATTTGAAAAGATTGGAAGGTAGGACATCGGAGAATATATTCAGCGAAAATTTGTGAAGGATTTAATAAATGTTAAAACCGTAAAAGCTAAAGAATTAAGATTTGGTAGATATTTTTAAAACAAATGAGAGCAATCGCAACTTAAAGAACAAAAAAAAAAACCGTTACAATAAAAGATCAAAAATTAGCTAATTATTAATTAAACTAAATTAATTTTAGGTGGTCTTTTTACCCTCCAACTGGTAGACTACATTATCGTGGAAGTTTGCGCAGCCGGACCGGCAGCCATCAAACAAAGGGTCATGCAAATTTTGAACCTACGGGGTGCTTCCCTGAAGACCATCAAGCACATCATGAGAGAATACGCCGGAAATCTGGGAGAGGAAGGGGATAAGGAATGGAGGGATCAAGAACAACAACACATCATTAATTTGGTTGATAAATTTTAATTTAAAGTAATTAAATGTATAGTTAATGAGAAAAACGTATTCTATATCGATTTATTTATTGAATTTACAAGGCATTCTCTATCTTTTTTGCATATTTTCAATCGGAACCCCAAAATCTTATGAACAACTAAAAAAGAATTTACATTTTCATTAATAACTCTAAAACGGCATGCATATTTTCATGAAAATTTAGATACCATATAAAAGAAAGCAAGAGAAATTTCAGGGTGTAGTCTTTTATAAAATTTGTTCTCATTTCCCTCCATTAATAATTTTTTAATCACCCTGCAGCTTTCATCAAATGTAGAAGAAAACTGATAGATTTGAATGCTTTTTACCATTCATTTCTATCTGTATCCATTTAGAAGTTATTCAAGTTTAAAATAAGTTAATCGCAGTGGTTTTCAAACTTCTTTTGATGGTATGCTGTAGAGTTATCTAAAGTATCTGCCGCCTAAATGTTTATTTAAAAAGAAATATGGATATGAAAATAACGAATCTTGTGTAATTAAAGGAAGTGCCACAATACGGAAATTAGTAAGAACTGATGGTTGTTAGTTCAAGACAGACTTAAGTTTTAACTGAAATTAAATTTTCTAAAATAAATAAACGAAATTCACTAAAATTTACTTCTATATATGTGTCCATTATTCCTTCTTTAATATAGCTCATGAATCATATATAATAATAAAATACCTTTTTTTTTTAAATAAAAATGCACCATGTAGATTATATATTTTTATTTTATTAAAAAACAAATTATTTAAACAGCCAATAAATATATATCTCATTTAATGTAACAAAAAATATCAGTAAATAAAAACAAACAAAAAATACTATAATTTATTTAAAAAAATACACAACAAATTGACTAGATCAATTTCAATCTAATAAAAATCGTCGGCTTACAAGTAAAACTAACCAAAATAATTTTTTTGGTACTATAATTTATTTCTCTCATACATATTCTCTTTCTTTATGAATTGGTAGATGATATTAAATAATCCTTCACAATAATAATACTGTAAGAAATGTAAATTATTGTATTTTGATTGTATGCCGACAATATTATTAACAACTTTTTTGTACTATAATATTTTGTAACTTTTGATTAAAGCTCGTCGTAATTTGTACAATATATTTTGATATAAATTTATGTAGGAATAAAAAAAAAGGTTTTGCTACTGCTGGGCTCTAAGAACAATTTTTTTATCAAATCTCAAAACTTTTTAGGTCCCTCTACGTAATATAAACTGATAAAATGTTAAAAGAAAATGATTTGTTTATTAATTTAGTAGGAACCAGGCAAACATTTCTAAAAACAATCTGCCATGATAAATCTAAGTATAAAAACCAAGTAACGAGATATTTTTTTGCAAAAATTTATCAGTGAACATATAATTATTAATATAAATGTTTGCTACTGATAAGCATTTAAATTAAATGGGAGATCTTTATCTTGATTTAATTACTTTTGAAAATTCAACTGGATATTTTGTTGTTACTCATTGTAGATTAAAAAGAAAACATTATTTAAATATTCTTTAACTTTTCTAGGATACTGTGTTAGTAATGTTTGGTTTATTCGATTATTTTTGTTTAGCTATTTTACTAAATAAAAAATTTACCTTTTTGTTATAAAGAGTAGTGTGTAATTATTACTAGGGCGGATCGATTATCAATATAAACAGATTATCGATTATTTAAAATAATTGATTAATTGAAAAAAAAAAAACAAAGATTTTTTTTGGAATAATTGATTATTTCCAATTATTCAATTAACCGATTATTTTGCTTACCCCTAATTATTACGAATCCAATATAGCTAAGACATTAAAAATTTTGTATCACCCTGTCGTCCATTTTTTAATTAACCAACGAATGATTTTTTTTAATTTCCATAAAACGTGATATGTTCAATAATATTGTATAAAATTTTATCCTCATCTCATGTATCTGGCCAATCTGGGATCGTACCGTCTCATCGTGGTATACCCCATGTCCCGATAACTACCCAATTGTGCCACGAAGCCCTGATTAGGGAAAACACATCGCTTCATTTTGACTTTTTCTAATGCTTCTTTAGCTGTTATGTTGTACTTCTTCATCAAGTACGCTATGACGACGGTCGCGCTCCTGGACACGCCCATTTGGCAATGCACCAATACGGCTCCGCGAATCATCCCCTCTCTGATAAATTCGTACGTTTCGTCGAAATACGACAACAAATCTAGAAAAGGAGTCATTATTACTCTAATAGTTTAAATTTTTTATAAATAAAACTTTTTTACCTGATGAGCAGATATCTGGAAGCCTTATATATTTCATGTTAAGGTGTGGAAGAGCTTCTTTGACAGTGGAAGTTAGAGGGAAGTCATTGATAGTCAATATATGAGTAATTTTATATTTTTTAAGTGTTTCAACGTTTCTTGCTTCGGCTTCGCCGCTAAGAAATAAGTTCGGTTCGATCATATCAAGGTTATCTGGGTAGCTCCTTGGTCTTCCAGAAAGACTGCAATATAAATTTGACATGAAAAATGGACAAAGTTCCATCGAGTAATCTGTATGTGCGCAGATTTTTTTTTAATACTCAAAAGTAACAATTTTATAGCAAAAAATATAGATATAAATATATTTTTCGAGAAAAGTAATTAAAATACTCAATTTTACAGGTTATATTCAAAAAACATTTCGTATTTTCGATTTTTTTAACTGTTTTTAAATATAGTACTGTTTTTTAGTTTAATTTAGTGTTTATTTAAGTTTAGTTTCTGTGCTTTAGTCATAAATATAATATTTATCATGTGTAGTAAATTTGTTGAATATCTTCACCCATCTTGATGATACATAAACATCTAGAAATATTTGTTTACTCTTTTATTATGAGGTAAAGGACATTTCAGGTACAAGTATCCTTATTGTAAGATTTTGAAGTGAACATTGTGGGACTTTGTAAACTGAAATAAAACTGTCATAATGCAGAATCCAATTTGATTCTAGACATAAAATGTTGCTAATTTTGCAACATTTTTAATGTCAACACTATCACACACTATAATAAATAAACAAATTTAATGTGCTCACAAATAAACAATAAACACCATAAACTTGATTAAAAAAAATATTAATGAACTGAAATTTAACAAAAAAATTTAATATAATTAAATCGGTTTTATAAAAAACCCTAAATAAATATAGAATATAATAACATATTGATAGACACGAACTTCCCTACTTAAAAAAAAAGTATCTTCTGCTAAAAGGTATAAAATCTGCTGACGTAGCGGAATTCTGTTAGTGTTGGCAACACTGGAAACAATCCTACTTTTTGCAAATTTCCTCCAGAGGGCGTATCGCTTAGCTGAATCGCGAATACGACAGATTGTTTTCAAAATTACAACGTTGCCAAGTTGTTAATGAAATAATAAATTTCAGGAAAAAATTTAAGTGATTATATCACATACTTTGATTTTCTTTTACTATACGGAGAATGGTCGCACTACGCAGCTTTCTGGGTGCCTTTTAAAAGGAGATAGAAAACTCCGCCATTTTGAACCCTTATTACGTGTTGACTACATCTTGGCGCAATATTTTTAATAGGTGCGTTTTAATCATCCGCTTCTGCTTCAGAATTGTCGGTTTTCTTGTTTTAATCTGACAGGTTAAAACGACTAAACCGACAATTCCGGAAGCAGAAGAGGATGATTAAAACGCACCTGATATTTTGCTTGCCGCTGTCAGTGTCAGTGAATATTATTTTTGGAGTCACAGTTTATTGCTAAAGAATCAGTTAGCTCACTCGGACCAGTTGAAAGTTCCAAAATAACATCCACTCCAGGGATACAAATCCAGGATACGCAGAAGACTGCTGTTTTATTATAGGCGGTTGTCATATATTGTATTATTTGAGTTGCGCAGTGTATAAACTGGAACATTGACATCAAAAGTGCCAACGCAGAGTGAGCGATCTGATTCTTTAGCTATAAACTGTGTCATAGGGTTCAAAATGGCCGCGCCCTATGTTGGGCGTGTCGGACCTCTCTCTTGCCCCGTATAGTAATCAAAGTATGTGGATTATATTTATTATATTTATTTTCTGCTTTTAAATCAAATATTGCCTTATTTATGATTGCAATAAAGTTCCCCTTTTTTTTTAATTTAGAGTCATAGGCATTTTTATGTGTTTCTCCGGTATGGGCAACTCTTGAAGTACAATGAAACCCAAATAACTGATAAATTACAATTTGACTTGGTTTTTTTTTTTTAGGAAGTTAGGGTGAGATTACAGAACGTCTGCAACTTTGCAAATATGGCGGACTTAACAAATGTAAGTATTCCAAAAAATATCTGCAAAAACGCAATATTTATTGTGGTTTATTACCCCCAACAACACTAAACCCAAATTTGGAATACGAAAACTTGATACTTGCATGTGTAAGTCAGTCATATTTGCAGATTTTCAAAGTAGCCGCCATATTTGTAGATCTGCAAAGTTGCAGACGTTCTGTAATCTCACCCTTACTATGTAAAATGACTACTTTTTATTATTGCAAAAAATATTCAAAATTTCTACGACCCTAATATTACATGGAGCCCAATTCTTAAATACAGTGATTAACATTCAACGATATGGCAACGTTGCAAATTCAAGGACCTTGTGTCAACAATTGACAATTTCAATAAATTTTGTTGTGTAAGAAAATAATGATAAAAGTTAGAATAGTCAAAATATCGCATTTTATTGTAATATAAATACAAGTAATAATTTTCCATACTTAATTATACTTAAAATATTACAAAAAGTAAGTTACGTACTTTAATATACTAGTGCTAAAACTTTGAAATTATGGTATTTTCTCGTTTATTATCATTTTCTTTAAGGAGAAAATTTTGAAAGAAAATTCTCCACCAATTTTGGTGAATTGGATTTCAATAATATGAATTTTTACGAGGGAGTAGAAAGTAAAAAATGTTTCTCAATATTTCTCTGTCCAATTTCAAGAATAGGCACCCTGGAGAATTATATAAAATGATTATAAAAATGACGAGTTTCCTTTATTCTACTTTAAAAATTTAACAAAACCATCCCTGAATGTTAATTTTAAACCATTATCAGTGTAAATTACGTTTTATTATTGCTGTATAAATGAAATTCCTTGATTTATACCCTTTATACAAAATGAAGAACACATAAACATGAATGATATTAAGTAAATATTTAACTTACGATGATATTCTCGAAAACACAGACATTTTTCGGAGTTGATAGTTGAGCTTTGAGCTCTTCCCTCTTCCCAAATCTATATTTACGACAAATAATAATCCTCCTCCTCATTTTTGCTATAAATAAACTGAATGGCACAGTGTTGCCAATCGCAATCGCGTGCGGAAATAAAAATATTTTAAATTAAAATTATCGATCTAACAAGTGTCTTCAAATGCTCCGAAAAAGGAGTATATAAAAACCTTTACATTAAATCGATTTATTTTGAATTTATATGCAAAAAATATTAGGCATTCCATACAAAATGGTTGCCTGTGGTTATTGATATGGCAACCCTGTGGTGGGCCGGATGCTATAATAGGGTCAATGATATATTGTTATATAGATTGATCATATGTTTTTCAAAATAAACATAAAGCTTATGCTTTGAAATAAAAATATAGGTTACATTTTTTTACTAAATTCAATGGCTGAAAATTGTTTCTAAAATACATTGGGGTCTATTCTGTAACAATTCCTCTATATTTAACGGCCTTTAAAAATAGTTTCTCCTTTACTTCTGTCATTATTTAAACGGATCTTTAAAATACATTAGAGGACTATCTTAAAGAAATCTGTTTAAATAATGACAGAAGTAAATTAACGAAAACAAATATACTTTTAAAGGCCGTTAAATATAAAGGAATTGTTACAGAATAGACCCCATTTTCTGTTGAACATATCTGATTCATAAGTACTTACGACTTGCGAGGCAATATATTGTACTATATATCATTGACCCTGTCAAAGCCAACAGGCCCACAGGGTTGCCATATCATTGCTTTTTTGATATAAAAAATGTCAAGGATTCGATGCCTAAAGACACGCAAAATTGTTATACCTACTGCCGAATATTTTTTGAGTTATATTAATCTCCAAATTGTTTACAAAGAACCTATTTCTACATTTATTTGCCTGCAAAATTTATTTTACTACTATTAATTCGAAAACCTCCAAAAAAAAACCTCTTCACGGTATCTTAGCCATATTTTATCTGACATGTTTTGTCTAATGTCAAATGATGTTATGATTATTATGTTTATAACCTTAAAAATTTTTGTCATTTACAATATTTAAAGACGTAAAAATGCTTGGCTGCAAATTAAAAAATTCCGTTCTATACGCGAGATGCAAGTGACGTTGGGTGTATAAATAAATAAATAAATGCAACTGTAGGTAATTTTTTAAATCATAATCCAAAAAATACATTCGCCCAGTTACATTTATTCACTCCATAGCAGACAGGTAAGTAAGATTTATCAATTTTAAACAATCTTTTAAATATTTTTGTATTAGATATGGACGCGGGACATAAAATTGATATTCAATTGGGTCCTATAAGTATTGACATGATTGAAGAAAATCTTTATTTGGGCGGTCTAGCTGCTGCAAAGAACCTGGAGGTCCTAAAGAAGCACAATATAACTCATATCCTGACTATAGATGTTTGTCCATTACCTAGAAATGTTACAGAACAGAAATATTTAGTTACAAGGTTTATCCAGTTATCAGATCAACCTAAAGAAGATCTGCTATCATGTTTTGATGAAACTGACTTGTTTATTAAAGAAGGTAAGATACATTGATATGTAAACAATTTAGATGCAGTTTAGCCAGGGCTGATTTAGATTTGTTCATTATTGACCAAAAATTATGCTATTGTAATAGATTTTATCTAGCAACATTACAAAATTGTTACATATTATGTGTATTTAACAATTTACATTTTTTTTTTTTATTCATTGCCAACCTTTTATCATTGACAGTCACCTTTAAATGTTGCAAACATTTTTATAATAGAGCTGCTTCTTGTATACTAAAAGTATAAAACTGAACTTTATATAATGGTATATTTTCCAGGTATGGCCAAAGGTAGTGTTTTGGTCCATTGCTATTTCGGTGTATCAAGAAGTGCCACTGTGGTCATTGCTCATATCATGAAAAAATACAATTTGAGCTATTTCGAAGCATTTGATAAGGTAAAGTCTAAAAGAAAAATAATTTTTCCCAATTTGGGATTCGTGTCCCAACTAAAATTGTATAAAGAGATGGATTATAATATAGATTATAAAAATATGCATTACAAAATTTATAAATTAACCTTAGCAGCAGACAGGGTGAGAAAAGTTAAGATTTTACCACAGGAATACCACAATTTGATCCAACCTGATCCAGATGTTGAACAGATTGAGCCAGAACCAAATGTGTACAGGTGCAAAAAGTGCAGAAGAGTCCTAGCTGCTGAATCGAATTTAATATTCCATCAAAATAATGGAGAAAATTGTAGAGAAACATACTTTATTGAGCCAATTACTTGGATGAATGTAACTCAAATGGACCAAGGTAAACTCTTGTGTCCCAAATGCTCTAGCAAGTTGGGATCCTTTAGCTGGATTATGGGGTGCCAGTGTCCTTGTGGAACAAAAGTGGCGCCCGCTTTCTACCTCACCCCTTCCAAAGTAGATTTTAGTAATGTTATTAAAAATGTTGAGATTACATGTTAGATTGTTTATTTTATTTTTTTAATTTGTGCTAATGTGAAAAAACACGTTTAGTATTATTATCTAAAAAGCATTTAATGTTTACAAAACCACAGAAATAAATACTTGATTCTACTTTGCATTTTTATTATTAACTTTTTTAATTATAATATTTGGGCAGGGATAGTTGGAAACAATGTCATCATGGTCTAGTGGTAAGAGCATTTATGTATATAACAAAGATGTCTGGGTTCGAATCCCAGAGGCGACAGGCTTTTTTTCAAATATTTCAAAAGTATGTGTTTTCACCTTTGAGGTGATTGTCTTAATAATTCATAATGGGATTTTTGAGATTTGTTTCCGAATTTTCAAATTTTTCTTTAGTTTTAATATTTTAATTTTGTGTACCATTTAGAATAATAATTCTGTAGTGTACCTATTTGAATAAATACAAACAAAATCCTTGTAATTTAACAATTCTATGTTGATAGTTTTATATTGTATGCTTAAGTTATTGTCTTTTGAATAATTGTGATAGTGTTACACTTCCTATCCCAATTATGTTAAATATAACAGAAAAATCCTTGTTTAAAGTTACTTTCTACCCTACTAAAGTGAAAGTTGATGTCTTTTCAACAGCTCAAAATGCTCTATGTTAAGTTTAATTAAATCAATTGAGGTAGAAGTTTCTAGAAAATTGATTACAAAATCAAATAATAATAGTTTGTGGTATAAAGACGAAAAATAGAGTTGACTACTCGAGAATTTCGAAAAATACTCGTTCGTTTCTCGTATATTAACAAAAATATAGAAAATTGTATCTGAAATGATCTGTCATTTTTAATTTTTCTTATAACTGCTTTTTCATTTAGATTTTTTCTCCATTTGTGCTACAAATAGGGACGATTTCACTAAATTTAAATTTTTTTATCATATCTTAGGTATTGTGTTTATCATTTTTATCGTAATTTTATTTTCTTGCTCTGTAAATGGATTTTATAAATCTTGTTAGGCAATAGAGGTTATTATTATTCTATACATTGCTGGGTTATAGAACCTAATCTAATAAGTGACTTACTTTTAAACGATTTACAATAGATTTAAAAAGGTTGAGAGTCTCCTAACCGATAAAAAAAAACTTTTATTTTTGGAAAAATGTATTTTTTATAATTCAAATTAAATATTAGGTACAAAATGTATAATTATCAACGAGTTTGAACAATATTAAAATGTAAAAACATATATTCGTTACTTAGGAATAAGCACTGGCGTAGCTAGAGGGGGCCACGGGCCACCCTCAGAATAGATTTCGGTCTTGTTGACCAGCTGCCTCTCTCCCAGGCCCCCTTAGATGAATACGCCAATGGGAATAATACTTAAAGCCTCACAATAAGCAATATTTATCTATATTATAAGTGAAGTGTACTTTAACCTGAGTGTTGAAGCAGAGTTAAGCATTTTAATAGTTATTGATTGCATAAGTAATTTTGTTTTAGGTAATAATTGAAGGTTACAACGTAAAATATAAGTTAACAGATTTAAAGTTTAGAAAACATGTCATATTTCCTCTGTCACTTTGTTTAATGAGTAATAGGAGATAAGTTTATACATTGCACAAAAACGAAAGTGTATACTGTGTAATGATAAAAAATTTATTTGTCAATGCAACCAATAATATTATTGTATGCCTGATATTTTTTATTTTCATATAGAGAATTCAAATTTATTTATTAATAAATGAAATTTATTTTATTCGGATTGCTGTCAATTTGCCTCATTGAGTGTTACCTTCTAGTATTTAAAATATCTTAATAGAAGGTATAAAGTACGTCAACTTTCCTTTCCTGAGTTCAATAGAACGGTATAGAAACACAGCAGTATTGATTAGAGAGAAATAAAATAATATGCTTGCCATCGAAAAAGCGTAGTTAAACCAATTACTCTCTTTAAAATCATCTCTCTATCATCCCCGGATGGGTTTATTAACGTACTGTATCTAGTTACTTAATTAATTTTTTTAATAAATAATTAAGGGTAAATTTGCTGTATAAAATAATTTTTTATATTTTAAGAGAAAGATTTTTAAGACAAACTGTCTCAGTCACCATCAATTGACTTAGGTATCGTGAAAATAGTGTTTTATAAAGAAATGTCACATTTATGGAATCGAAAAATTTGCGACATTTGCTAGAACAAATGTTCTCTTCTTCATATTCGTTAACCAAATTCGATTGAACATCGTTTATAGCCCACTATCACCGATAAAAAAATTTGTAACAAAGAGGTAAAAAAATATCACGTCCTCTTTTGGGCCCATTTGAAATCGTCCGCTCTGGGTTTGATTCCCGTTACAGTTTCGATGAGGAATTCCAGTGCGCTCCAGAAACGCAATTTTTCTAGTGGCCAGTTCAGCCAACCCGTCGTAATGCAGAAGTACGTTTCATGTGGCGCCACGTGGTGGATCCTGTGATGACGTCTGGGGAGAATTATTCGATATTCCTGAAGAAAAATTACCCAAGTCGGAAGGTCGAAGTACGTGTGAGACCATTTGTGAATCTGGAACAGTAGAAATCAAATTATTTATAAATTTAAATTTAGTCAGTGTTGGAAATTTATCCAACATATTTCGGTAATATCTAAGGCCAACCCTGCCCCTAAATCAACTTAATAAAGCGATTATAGATTTATCTACCTGATTTGTCATCGCGACGAATATGGCTAAGAGAAAAATATAGCAATTCCACGTAAATTTGGTTTGGATATCTTCTTTTGACAGCGTTAGAAAATCCAACACCATACGGCCCAGGAATGGTATTGTTACCATGAAATTGTCACCGTTAGTTTCGATGAAATCATGGCGTGTTATTGAGGTTGGATCAATATGGTGTTCTCGGAATGGTCGAAGAAAATTCTAAAACAATGAAATATACATAGTTTAGATCAGTGGTCGCCAACCTGTCGATCGCGAGCTACCGGTAGCTCTCGGAAGCAATTCTGGTAGCTCTCACAACGATTTTAATTTAAAAAATACAAACTGCAAAAATCAGAGAAGCTTCCGAAAATTCCCAAAAAAATCAAATTGTGATAATATTAAACATAAACAGCGGCAACGTTGCGGTGTGCGATCTGCCGCTGACGCCCATCAAGCTAGAATCGGCTAGAACCGACCAGCCGGACCAGCGCGTTAGTGTTCGAGAACGATCAGGATTGCTTTGAACGGGATAAATACGCACGGCGCGGCGACATTGCGCTTAGTTTAAAACTGAACGCGTAACCAACGTCCAGCGGTTGGGTTAGTAGAGAACAACAAAAAATAATATTATGGCAAGCAGTTGTAAGAAGGTAAAGATATACCACTTTCATTCGGAATGGGAAGAACAATACTTTTCTACAGAAGTTAAAGATAAAAATGTGTGTTTGTTATGTAATACTTCGGTCTCCGTTGCTAAAAAAGGAAATATTGAGAGACATCATAAAACTGTACATTCTAATTTTGAAAAATCATTCCCACTACATTCTGCCGCCAGAAAGGAGAAACTGAAACAGTTAAAAAAGCAGTTAATTGGACAACAATCAATATTTTTAAGAACAGTCGATAAAAATAAGGCTGCAACTGAAGCATCGTACCGTGTGTCCCAGATAATTGCACAAAAAAAGAAACCTTATGAAGACGGGGAAATGATAAAACAGGCGTTTTTAGAAGCTGCTGATTCGTTATTTGCCAACTTTAGAAATAAATACGAGATAGTTTCAGCTATAAAATCTATGCAACTTTCTGCTAATACAGTGATGAGACGTGTAGAAGTAATGAACAATGATATTTTTTTACAGTTAAGAACTGACTTAGATAACTGTGTTTATTTTTCACTTCAACTGGATGAATCAACAGATGTCGTTGACACTGCCCAGATGGCCGTGTTCGTCAGGATGGTTTTTAGTGAGTTTACGATTAAAAGATCTTTTGAAGTTTATTCCACTGAAAAGACACACTACTGGACAGGAGTTGTTTTCTCATTTAAAAAATATTATTTCTTCCGAGAAAATTCCAATATCGAAAATGGTAGGCTTGACAATCGATGGCGCTCCAGCTATGGTGGGTTATGATAAGGGTCTGGTGGCGTTATATCGTAAAGATGAAACTTTTCCGCAATTTCTCTGTTACCACTGCATTATCCATCAGCAAGCATTATGTGGAAATTTCCTGAAACTAAACAACGTTATGAAACTGGTGGTAAAAATTGTGAACAAAATTAGAGCTCAAGCGTTACAAAGATTATTCAAAACCTTGGCTGATGAAGTTGACTGTCAATACGGGGACCTACTCCTTCACTCTGAAGTCCGATGGTTAAGTAGAGGACGGGTGCTGAAACGTTTTAATGATGTCCTATCTGGCATAGTTCAATTTTTCAAACAACGCGATGAACCGACTCCGGAACTAGAAAATTCAATCTGGCTTAGAGATTTTGGTTTTCTCGTGGACATTACAGAGAAATTAAAAGAACTTAATTTGCAGCTTCAGGAGAGAGACAAAGAACTAGCGGAAATGATTTCTGATATAAAAGCATTTATCAAAAAGCTGGAGTTTTGGGAACAAAACCTAATTAACAGCGATGCCAAGCATTTTCCTATTCTTTCAGAAAAAATATCTCAAAATCCATTAGAACCCTATGACAGCAGATATCATGTAGAAATAATTTCTACCCTGAAGAATAACTTCAAAAATCGTTTTAAGGATTTCAACGAAAGGCTTTAGTAGCGCAGTTTGTTGTTTCACCCTTTATGGAAATTGATATCCAACAGTTTGCAACTTGTGTTATGCAGAACCTTGGCGAAGACATTGCTGCAACAGAAATGGAAATAATTGAGTTTCAAAATGATTTAGCCATAAAATCGTTAGTCTGAAGTACCAAATGTATCTGGCCTATTCTAAGTAAAGACAAATATTCAGTTATATGCCGTGTTGCCTTGAAAGTGAAAGCATTATTCAGTTCAACCTATTTGTGTGAATCTTCTTTTTCTAATATGAAGTTTATTGAGAACAAATATCGCAATCGACTTACAGATGAACAGTTGGATAATTGTATTCGAATGGCTGTATCAAATTATACTGCAAACATTAAAAAAATTATCGATAAGTCTGAGTGTCAGCCTTCTCATTGAACGTGCTTTTGTATTTTTCAATGTTTTTGTTCATGATAGTGCGTTACTTTTTTGTTGTTATTATTAACTATTTTTAAATCTTACGTGACATGCCGTTGTGGCTAGATAAAAGTTTGTGTTTTTTTTTCAAACACCTTCGTTTGGTAGGTAGGAATGTAGCTATGAACAAGTACGTACTAGTAATATTAGTTATTTTGTTATTAGTTTATTATTAGTACCTATGTATTATGTATTACTAGTTAAATAGTAAAATAAATACATATAATGATAAATTAACTGTGGATTATTTCATTTACGTTGCATTACGTGGCTTCCGTGTGGGTAGCTCGCTGTTTATTCCAAAATTAACAAAGTAGCTCAACACATTGAGAGGTTGGCGACCACTGGTTTAGATCTTTCAAATGAGGTGTTACTAACCAAAAAAGTATCAAATATGATTGCCATTTTTGGAATAAAAATATTTTTGTAACTAGTTTTAATTATTTGTAATTAGAACAGAAAAAAGAAAATATTTGCGTAAGTAAGGAAAATTTCAAGGAAATGTCCAAATCTCTTGAATGTCTGCTTCCAAAAAATTGAAATGATTTTATCGAACTTGAATTAGAAACTAATGTTGGCATCCTAGACAAATACAATGGACATTTTCTTGGGAAGTTTCAAATATGTACGGTGGATTTATTAAGAGACATTCTTTTTTAGAACCAGTTTTTAATTTGATAAATTCGTCATTAGAAATATCAAAAATATCTAAATTAAAAATTGCTATGGTAGTCCCTGATCCTAAGACAATAAACGTAAATAAAGCTACATTAGGAGTAATTACTCTTTGCTATGGTGATAGAGTCGATCGAAACTATTTGTCAATTAATAAAAAGTAGAAATGAAGAAACAAGATTGTGTGATCGGTAGACTTGTATTTTTTTTCATTTCTACTTAATCTACTTCGGAACACTTCGACATATGGATAATATTTGGAATTTAATAATAAAACTGTAAAGAGTGTAAGTAGTGCGACCCACTTTTCGTCGTCTTATTTACTGTATCTATAATTATATTGTTGAAACCTTATAATATATTAAGGTAGAAACCTTACCTTTCCTAATATTGGTAACTCGATTGAGCCCCACGTATCGGCTGCCCAATGCACGAACCCCGAACAAAAATCGGCGGTCACAATTCCAAAAAATGCCGCCACCAGGATCGTACTTAACTTTTCTAGGTGAGTATAATAGACTACGAACACGAAGTTTATCGCCATCAGGGTCAAACAAATGCCGACACAGATGCATTCCTGCGTTCTTTTACCTGAAAGTAAAAATATTTTTTTACAAATTTGGCTAAATTATTATTTTCATTTAGAGATAAAAAATGACAAGATGTATAAGAAAAGTTAAACCGTAAAAAACGAGTAGGTATGGGAAATGAGGAATAAAAGTATTTTAATAAAATAATAAACATTTTTATACGACCATTCAATTTAATAGAAAATAATAGAGATAGTTGTTATTTTCTTTTAGTTTTTATAAACTAATCATGTGTTTAAATAAAACAAATAAATAAACAAAAAGTAAAAGTGGATAAATAGAAAACCTAGAAAACAAAATCATGTTAGATATGTTAGTCTAAAAATAAAATTATGATAAATTGTATGTGCCTGAAACCGAAAGAGAATATACGGGCTATTACCTTATCTCAGTAAAAAACCACTCCCTTCGTTTATAATTAAAAACATGATAATCATATTGAGTGGTTGGTAACACTGGAAATGACCTTCACCAATATTTTTAGCAAAAACCACTGTCTGGATAAAATGAATCTATTCTAACCTTCATGCTACAGAGTTTGTACAACAAGAGTGGATATGTTGGGCCTGAGTGCTATACGAATAATCCACTCGAGTTGCACATATATTTTTTATCTAATTTAAAAAAAAAATTAAGAGTTATTAAGATAAAATAACTATTTTAAAAATAATGTATAACTTTTAGTCATAAAATAAAATGGAGACATTCAGGATAATGACTAAACTGCTATAACTAAATTGTATTAAGTAAAAGGAATGAGGGGAGGAGGGCTGCAAGGTATGGTATAGTCTATTTTTATGTATGAGAGAGTAATAAAACAGCATTTCTAATGCAAAACTTAGTACGGTCATTTTAAATATTTTTATAGAATAATTTAAATATTTCCTAAAATTGTAATAAATGTACCTGAGCTATTACAAGTTTTGGGTCTTTTATTGGTCCTTTATAAACATAAGCTGTATAGAACAATAGAAAAAGGTTTGGACAGGCCAAAAGCCCTGTGTATTAAAGATTACATAGCCGTATCTTAAGATTATTTTCAATAAGTACCTATTTGCCAATTTTGTTTTATTTTAATTCCAAGAATTTCTTACAGTAATCGAATTATAAGTAGATAAATACCTTCCCAACAAATTTCACCGAAAATGCGATTATAGGTTTTCCATTTAGTAAGGAGGTCCAAGTTGTGTATTATTGACTAAATGTCGTTTAGTTGCAACTTGAAAGGTGCAGTGTGAATTCTAGTGTGATCGTGGAAAATTTGGAAGGGCCGCGTAAACGACAAAAAATCGGTCCTTTAACAGTTAATGAAAAAACATTAATATTTAATTGTTTTAAATCATTTACAGACAAACATTTATGTAAAAGTGTTGATGACACAGTGGAATTAGTAGTACGCTTGGTGTTGGGAAATCTACGATTTACAAAGTTGTTAAAGAAGAGAAATGTGGCGAGTTTCAAACAGCACGTAAAACTCCAGGAAAACCAAAATTTCAATTAGAAAATCTTTTGAAAGAAAGACTTCGAAGGAAAGTGCATGCATGCGTTCTTCTTTAGAAAAGAATTTCCGACAGTAGACAAAGTTCTTGCCACGGTTCGAGATGATAAGGATTACCCTGAAATGAGTCGAAGCACACTATGGAAACTTTTAAAAGAAATAGATTTTCTATGGAAAAAGCATTCCAGAAAGTCTATTTTAATAGAAAGAAGCGATATTGTAGTATGGAGAAGAAATTACCTAAGGACTATAAAAGAAATGAGAAACCATAGAAGAAATATATTTCATTTAGATGAAACATGGATCAACGAGGGACATAAACCAAATAAATTTTGGCCAGATGAAACTGTTACAAGTCGAAGACAGGCTTTTTTAAATAATTCATCTACTGGTTTAAATCCACCATCAGGAAAAGGGCGCAGACTAATAATAGTACACATCGGTAGTTCAAACGGTTTTGTTAAAGGTGGTTTATTGACTTTTGATTCTACTCGTACCGGTGACTACCATGAGGACATGAATGCTGATGTCTTTAAAGAGTGGTTCGAACAAATTATAGATCTTCTTCCTCAGAACTGTATAATAGTAATGGATAATGCAAGTTATCACTCGAGACTTACAGAAAAAATGCCCACAACCGAGTGGTTAAAAAAAGATTTACAGAATTGTCTAAATTCAAAGAATATTAAGTTCCATCCCGGTTCTGTGAGAAAAGAACTGTATCATTTGTGTTCCCTTCATAAAGAGAAATTCAAAAAATATGAAATTGCAAAAAATCGTGGGATGACGGTGGTTAGATCACCACCATATCATTGCGAAGTAAACCCGATTGAACTGATATGGGCACAGATAAAGGGAGAAGTTTCAAGAAAAAATAATTCTTTTAAAATGAGTGATGTTAAACAGTTGTTTTTGGAGGCTGTAAATAATGTGAAGCCTAAAAGCTGGGAAAAGGCAGTAAATCATACGATTAAAGAAGAAGAGAAAATGTGGAAGTTGGACAATATTACTGATGAAATGATCGAGCCATTCATTGTAAATATTGGTTGCGACAGTTCATCTTCTGATTTCGATTCTGATTTGGATTTGTAGGTAAGAAGTAGTTTTTATATTAAAATTATTATTTATGAACGTAACGTTGTTTAAAAGTCAAAGTTTAAACTCTGCTTATACCTACATAACCCGTTTGATACAACATACCTTGAAGAAAAATAAAACATTTTAGAAAAAATTGCACTTTTTTATCTTCAGCTGTTTAGAAGTTATAAGCAGGTTAATTAGGTGAGAATATAAGTGTATTCTCGAGGAATAACTTCAAAAAATATTTTAACTGTCTACTAAAAGAAGTGGTACGCCTATGGATGAACGCTTTATTATTTTAATACTCTCTCATACATAAAAATAGATTATAGTTGAGTACAGAATCGAAATAAGGTGTCATCATTGGAATAAAAATCGAGCTGTTTTTACGTTAACCCCAAACTTAAAACAATACGCATTTTTTTAAAAATCAATTATAGTTAAAATGGTAATTTAATTATAGTTAAAAGAGTCACGTTAACATACACTGCTCAATAATTAGAGTGGATTATTATATCTAATCGTTAATCAAAATTAGAATTTAAATATATGTTATAAATCATCAGGAGACATGTTTATTACATTTTCTTTCTTTTTATATACTGCTCTTTCTTTAATGAAAAAGTAGGAGAATTTGTTTCCAAAATTAAAACGTTTTATAGAGAAAGAAGCTGAGGGGCTATAATCGTGCGAATATTGCTAGTAATGAGAGATGGTAGATTAACAAAAAAATATACCTAACGTATATTTTTAGATACCTATAATAACAATCTGCGAGCCATTTTCAACTAGTTGGATCATGCTAATCCCTCTTTAGGTTATTTGAGTAATCATCTTTTCCAGTAACTAAAAATATTCAATGAAATAAGTCACTTCCGAAAACCTCTGTTGATCCGCCTGTGTTCCGCTCTCACTTGTCAAACAAGACACTCTGCGGAGAATAAGATGCAATCGGTGTACATTCTGGATTTTTTCTAGAACCAGTGCAGTGCGCAGCATTATGTGTATAAATAGGCTGAAGCTAGTAGACATTCGAATTGTTAAATTAGATTATAAGTGTGAAATATAAATCGTATTTAAATATAAATAAATTAATGTTCAGTGTATGTAAATAAATTATAAATAATAAACTGTTTTAAGTAAATCTTTTTTAATAATCGCCAAATGTTTATAATATTCACTTCCATTGTTGATCAGTGTATTTCCAATTCTGCCTTATTACAATACGCTAATATTTTTAATGAAACGTGAACACTAATTTTTAATAATTTTCTAATGGATAAATATCCGTCAAGGGAACGTTCCCATTATTTTCGTCGGCACAAAATTCCTCTGAGACTATATTTTATAAAAAAAACCTATATAAAAGATAACACGTGGATAACCCAATGTCATATAAAGCTATTTTTAAGTGCTGCAAGTCATTTACAAAAAAAAAAAATAATTTCGTTAATAAGTATATACAGAGTGGCTAATGTTTAATTGAACTAATCGCCTATCTCTTAAGAGGGAATTTGCACGCCATAATGTTCATACTAAAAACTATTAACTAAGTAATAATTCAAAGGTTCTATTGCGTTGGGCTTCTGCTGTCTAAATAATAATTTTATTTTTTCGTATTCGACTTTTCAAGGGATCTTTACGTTTTGGGATCCCTAAATCCGTTTTTGACTAATTTTGCGATATTATTTCGGTCTGTGGTGGGCCTAAATTGACATATCTAAAAACCCTCATTATAGTTCGTATATCGTTGGATATTTACTAATTTATTCAGGATGAAATAAAAATTTATAAAAACGGACATCAACTGAATAAATGATGAGCGCAATAAAATTATTTTTTATCAATAGATAATATAATTTCATTTCCAATAAATTTTAGAATATCGACCAATATATTTAATTCCGTTTCATTTCAGACATTTTTCTCAAACAAAAAAAAAAAAGAATATATCGTTATGTATTCCGGAAAACGATCTTGAAATTACTAGTCCTGAAATAAAATCGATTATTCATTGTTTCATGTATATTCCGCATTTCCTCTTTAACTAGCTTTTCTAGGTGCATAGGCGGAGTTAAGCTCTAATATATTGGGGGTGCTGTTTAAAAAAATGCCAATTGCTTTCTTTGTAGAACAATATTTCTCAGTGTATATATTTTAAACATACTGAAATAAAAAAATAATATAAAATGAAATATATTACTATAGGTATTATTTGAACAATTTTATTTTATTATAAAAATTAATGTGTTTTGATAACTCTTGCCATTGACACAAGTACAATCATTTTCATACTATATTGTAATTTGCAACTGGAAATGCAATTAAATAACTTTGATAAATAATAACTATAATGTCGTGCGCCCCTGTTCTTTGTTTACCTTTATCGCTGCTGTTACCGCTGACGTTAGCCGATCGAGAAA